TAGGTGTAGTAGCAGTACCAGTTGTGGTAGTAGTGGTACTAAGAGGAGTAGTTGTAGTACTTGTAGAAGTAGTAGTAGTAGTAGTAGTAGTAGTAGTAGTAGTAGTAGTAGTATTAGTGGTCGTAGTAGTAGTAAGAGTAGTAGTAATGGTGGTGTTGTTAGCTAAACTGGAAGTAATTTTATAATTATCTATAAACATCGCAGTCGAAGTGTTAGTCGTTGTGGTCATTGCTGTTGTTATAGTTGTATTCGTAGTTGTAGCAGTGATAACAGTGCTAGTAGGAGAAGGAGTTGTTAAAGTTGTATTGTTAGAAGTGGTGTTGGTGGTGGTGGTGGTGGTGGCGTAGGACGTGGTGTTGTTGCTAATGCTTAATGCGTTTGCGAACTCTTGTAATGTTGAGTTAAATTCTAAAATTCTACTTGGTCTGCGTCCAGTAACAAGTAGTCTGTAAATACAATTGAATACGTACCAAACGACACACACACACAAAAAGAATGTTATTCACATATTATTGTACATTCGATTGCATTTCTGTTAAGTTTGTTTATCGAAAGTGTGTGAGATATTTTGCTTTTGCTTAAAATTTTTGTGTTTCTAAGTATCAGTAATGAGTGTGTGTTATCGAAATGCGAAAATTCATTTAAGAGCGTGTACCATTTTTTTTATAATTTTGCTCATATATGTATGTGTATGTGTGTATATGTGCAAATTTAAATGCCTCACAGGCCTATTCTGTCGAGGTAATAAAATTTAATTTGGTATTAAAATGTACCATTCAGTAAATTTAATTACTGTTACGTAATCTGAATTCACCGTCACCCTGTAAATTTTGTTAACCGTGTAATAAGAGGAAACAAACAATATGTCGTTTGATTTTCTATTGTAAATTTGAGGAAAAAGCAAAATGTATGGGCATATTTTACGTCTCTAATTCAATGAGAGTGAAGAAAAAAGTGCAAAAAGGCGCAAGGTAGGAAATTTGAGAAAAATTACACTCATTTAATTAATGTTGTCCTGGCATATTTTCCATAATTAGGCTCAATTATTTATGACTTGATAAACAAATAAATTAAACTAATTTATTTTGTTGTGCTCCGTCTTCCATTTCTTTTCTACTTCACTAACTGAAAAATGTTACTTGAGGTGTTCGAAAAAAGCAGGTTTCCTCAAACACTGTAACTTTTGTGCGCTAGAATACAAAGCTCTATTTCGGGTGTTAAAAAAAGTAACGAAATTTCCTTTACCGTTAACAGTGAGAATAGGCCTGTTAGTGTAATAATATGTTACGTATATGTTGTTGCTGTCACTATATCTAGTCTAATAGATCTAATCTTTTATGAAAAATTATATTAAATTAATGTTACATAATATAAATACGCTGGAATCATTTTTTTTCATATGCAGTTTAACAAACGAACCGAATTGTAATTTATAAAAGAATTACATAGCTAATATTTCTTAAACAGTTTATAAATTTTTATTAACATACGAAAAATGTAATCACAAAAAACTTAAATTTGAATCTGCAATCATAATAAGCTAAAAAATATAATAAGAATACAGTCAACATTTTAATATAATTTTGGATAACAATAACTTTTGAATTTAATTCAACAATAAAAAAGTGGATGCACTATTTTTCTAGGGGGTTATGTGTAGTTAGATTTTTTGAATTCTTTTTCCATTTTAGTATTGTACAAATATATAAGGTAATTCTCTGAAAATTTAATGCGGTAAATGTTTTTTGGAGATCTATGAACACGATTTTGAAACAAATAACAACTTTGTGTGAATTAAAGCTTTAGACGGGTTTTTCGCAAAACGATATCATTAAAGTCAGTGATATGGATTTTCTGCAGAAATGGAAATTGCTTAGTACTTTATGTCCATGATTCCTGCGCTATTGTATTCTCAAAAGTCAAACCACTTTTGCAATGAAATAAATTGGTGGCCTCTGCTTTGCGTTTAACCCCATTAATTAAGGCGTTACATAAGTCTTGAAGGCAAAAAAAAGCTTATTTTCACTAATTTTTTTAAAGGATACTAAATAAAGTATACAATTTATTTTATTTACATATAAAAGTACAATATGCAGACAAAATTTGATGAAAATTTGAATGAAAAATAGTATAAGTTAAGGCGTTGGCAGTGTCGGGAATTAGGCCGCCCGCAAGATAGTGCTTTCGCGGAATCAAAAAACCAATTTTTTTTTAAGTAAGTGAATTTTCCTTGTCCCTGAACGAAAAAAAAATCAAGAAAATTAAAAATTGCATTTTTTGTAGCGTTTTTTTTTTTACAAAAAAACCTAAATTACTGTATAAAATTAGGCCACATATTGACTTGTAAAATGAGTTGAAATCCAAGCTAAAATAAATCCTTCGTTCAGGAACTACAAAAACATGCTTAAAAGATGTGTGGAAAATTTGAACTCGTTCAGTTCAATAGTCGCGTAGAGAAATTTTGACTACCGATTTCGATAAAATGGTTTTAAGAAAACAGTGTTTAAAGTTTCGCCATCGGTCAAGCCATGACAAAGACGGTGGGTTATAAAACTCTCGAATTTCTACAGTTTCGTCTCGATCGACTTGAAACTTGTGGAAAATATTACTGACACTTTGTACTTTTATACAAAATATTACCAAAAAATGAGTTTTTTAAAGTTTTAAGACCTATATAACCCCTTAATAGAACCAGACTTTTTTGCTTTTATATTTTCAAAAAGTATACTCGTAATTACATGAACAAGCGCTGGGTTTACTAAATTGATAAAAATATGATTTTAAAATTTATAAAAAAATATTTATGTATAATGAAAGCAATTTAAATATTTTTTAATTTATTTTTTCTAATGTACTGTTGAAGGTGATTAATTTTTTTTTATATATATTTAACGAAAGCAATCTAAATATTTCTTTTTTTCTAATGTGTTCAAAGCTGATTAATTTTATCGCATATAATTTAATTGCTGAAATATAATGTGTGATTTCATACAAACGTAAAAGAGGTAAAAACTTAATATATATTGTATGTATTTCTTTATTTATATATTATTATTATTTTTATTGTGCTAACAGCCAGCGATACTATAAGCTAAATTTAAGGCTATTTTTCGTGGATTATTTTTTCATAATTAAATAAAATGAATCAATCAAGTATAATATGAAACGCGTTTAATTTTACTAAAACTAATGCATTTTTGTAGTTAATTTTATTTTGAGAAATCTATCAGAATTTAATCAATTCGATTTATTAGAAAATATACAGATTCACAGAAGTATTTTGAAATCAAAGGCATTTAAAATAAAACTTATTAATTTTATTTATTATTTACTACTAGATACACGTTTAATTAACAATAAAAGAAGAAAAATTAACATCTATGAATATAACAAAACGTATAAACTCGAAAATCACTGTTCCCAAAAATATTTCGCTGTTCACTAAAATTCATTTAAAAATTTATTTAAAACTCATTTAAACCTCATTCATAGAACAGCAGTGAATTCAATGTTTTTAAGGTGCGCTGATTAATATCGCTTTCATTATATCCCAGCACGGGCATCATATCAAGAACAGGTAATTCAGCATACTCACTAAAAACTACTGTCTTCTAAAAGTCAGAACCCTTTCAGTTGTATACTCGTATGTTGTCCATTTCTTTTACTTATTTTGAAAATTTGTGGCGTTTGCGTACCAAACGACTATGAAAATCATTGCTCCAAAGCACTTTTTGAAAATTTGCTTTAATATTGGTAGCTGATATATGCGGCTTATCGAAAATGCTATAGAGCCATATTGAATGCCATATTCGGTACGTTATTCTTGATATACAGTCTCGATTGCTGCAGAAAATGGTTGTAAATTGGGTGTATCGGCTTAAATTTATTCGAGCTTAAATTTATTGGTCGCTTAACCGTAATCATTTTTAACACAAAATGGCAAACCCTTATTGTTATAATAAAGTTGAATTCTTGGTCATAATTTACCAACATAGGTAAGAATTTTTCAGAGTTTGAGGGTGCTCCGCAGGAGGCTTAAACTATTTAAGGAGTCTGGCAATCTTCGAGTCAATTTAAACATTATTCTAAATAAAATATCAAGAACTTGAGCTGTGTACGTTAAATGTATTTAAATTGCTTTGCTTGCATTTTTGACCTCTGTTACCTGCCACTACCCATAAGTCGCGTCATCGTTCTTACCTATGCTTGAGACGAGCCCATCTCATTGCTTTTTCTGTTGTTGTTGCATTGGCAGTCAAAGTATGCAGTATACAGCAATACGAATATTTAAATATTTTAGCAGACAATTATATCTTAACAATGTCTAAAAATTTGAAATCTCGACGATATGGAAAATACTTTTGTGAGTAACTGTGGAATATCGTTTTACGAAGTTAGTATGAATTGAAAAAATGAACTAACTAAATTATTACATAATTACAAAATATAATTAATTACCGTTCAATTAGAAATAATTAATTGCCTAATAAAAAATAAAATATTTTTCCAACGGACTATGCACACAAATTTATGTTAAATACAATATTTCATTTTAACGGCGCCCAGATTTCATCACTTCTGATTCGAATCCAACTTATAGACACGCTGTTTATTTAAAAGGACGTGTTAATTGTTCTTTAAGCATTTTTGGGATTTTTTATTTTTTATTTTTTTTTTTTAGATTATAAATAAGGCATTTTTCTGCAACACAACACTAAACAACAACAACTACAAGGTATACAAAGTGTTAATAAAATATACATACAAATATACTGCATTTAGCAAATGTGAGTCAAATACAAACAAAACAAATGAAAACAAATGGAAAAAAATGGATGTTATCAACATGGCGAAAATGGCGTAAACCCAAACTCATTAAGGAATATGCGTGAATAATGTGAATTGGCGAAAGTGGCAAAATCAAGGGGAAAAACACGAGATTGCACAGTACGTCGAGTCGAGTATTTTTTATTTATTTTTTTTTTTCAAGTTATACTTACCCACTTAACTCCAACATTGAGCCGCGCCGCACATTACGTCTATGGCTGGCCGTAACCGGGAATGGGCCGGAGTGCGCTATATCACCCATATTAATGCCAATGCCGCTATTGCCACCAGACGAAGCGACCGAAATCGATTGTGATCGTTTGTCAAGACGTGGATTCGCATGCGGTGGCTGTATTAACGGCATCAAGGGTAGACCGCTAATTAATGCATTCGCCAATGTAGGATCTGAGCCGCGTGCTGAGCCAGCGCCGTCTGTGGCATCACCCAAACTGCTGCCGCCTCTCGAACCGCAGCTCTCGCGCCGGAATAAACCTATGACAGACTTAGGCTGTTTAGGCTTATTGATACCACCTTTTTATATTTTACATATATAATTAGGTGTTTTAATTTATGTAGGTGTTTGAATGTTGATGATTGGGTTGGTGCAGGCCAGTGGGGTAGTTTTAATTTTTTTTTTTTTTGTCATGTTATTATATTCGGTTTGTTAAACGAGTGTGGACGTTTAAGTATTTGTTAAATTATTTTTCGGATGTTTGTTCATTTTTATGATATTTTTTTTAGTTTTGTTAAAGTGTTAATTAATTTTTTTTGTTTTGAAAAAATTCAAGTCAAGAGCAGACATTTGCATTAATTTTTGATTTTAGATTTTAGATTTTTTTCATTGCAAAAACACACATTCAACGCAGTTTACGTGGAAGAGAAGAACATAGAGGAAATTGAAAAAGGAAAAAAAAGAAAGAGTTGTAATAAAATAAAACACAATTTTAGCAGTGGGTTCACACAAATTTTGACAATCGGTGCTATAATAATTCATAATCATACCTTAAACTTTGATATCAAATATTTTGAAGCTACATTTAAATTTTATACATATATATGCATATAAATTTTGCTATATAATTATGTATTTACAGCTCGCCAATATATAATATTTTATTTCAATAGCGTGTGTGGATAGTCATAGCTTAGAGCGGTAAATTAAATGCGCAAATGAAAATAAAAAAAGAAAAGTTCCAGGAAATCGAACTACTGGGGAACGTTCTGTACTTCTTAACCGATCATGCAACGACTTTTTAATTTTTGATATACAATTTTAGTTATTATATTGATAAACATTAATTTTTAATATAATTGATATTATAATTTATAAAAACTATCTTATATAACTAAAGCTGTATTACTATTCATAGACACCATTTCTTTGAAAATACCTCTAATGGCTCATCACCATATTACCGCAATACTTTCCAGGTGGAAGTCTTTACTTACACGTATGGAAAGACTACTGAGCTAACTAGCATTGTGGCAAATGATACTAACAATATCAACTCTTATATTGCTAGCCAAGCGGAGAATCAAATAGTCCAAGAGATTTCGGGAAGTGTCTGGTGTACATTTGTTTGTACAATAAAACAAATTAAGATAGAGGAAGACGGATCTGAGCCACATGAAATTACGCCAAGCTTCTGTGTAGAAACAACGAAGGATTTTACGCCCTAATTGTTCTTCTTCTCGTAGGATTTGCAGGACTCACCGTCAAAATGCAGGACTCATCAACAAAATGATCCACACACAGCACGATAAGGGGTTGTCTCTAATGTATCGTTATATCTGAATTTGTAATCCCTGTAAAACCTAATTGGCTGTGTAAACTGGTGCTGCACAAAAACCGTTTGAGACAAGGTGATTCATTATCATACGAGCTTCAAAAGCAAAAAGAGAAAGTACAATTTTCTTTAAGAACGTATGCGAATAAAGAGACAGTGGCCAAGTTGGAGTGGATGGAAGCAGTACTAACATCAAAGATATTCGATGCAGTATCCACTGGTGAAAGCAGAGTAAAAAGAAGGCTACCACTTCTTTGAAATAATCTGGCGTAGAAAAATATGCTTTCATTTGGCATGTTCGATAAGCGGCGAACGGCTATGAGAAGAAACGACGTGCGCACTCGTATTATTTCGCTTTAATTGCGTAAACAGTGTTTACGCTAACGAAGAAGTAGTGATACATGCAGATAATCCAGGCAATGTAGGAATGTGGACACGTGTTGGCGTTAGAACACCATCTGTCTCTATGCGACCTCATGAAGAATGATGTTTTTCCAACGAATGGAGGGTCCTACAGTTTATAATAAACCGCCTTCGAACGGACTAGAAAATTTAACTTAATTTTCTATAACTTTTTGATTGTTAGTACGACACCAGGATTTGAGCCCGAGCATTCCGAATAGCAGTACGAAATGCTAAAAACTCGGCTACTGCGGCCGCCACCACTTTACTTTCGGAAAAATTCCTCCTCTGAGTAGCACTACAAGGGACCAGTGTAACCTAACCAAACTCCAATTTTAGTCTATTTGGAAAAGTGTAGTCAAAGATCTGACCTGATTGATTGGAAACGGATACTGTGGTCTGCGCTACCATCTTCTTGACAGATTTTATCCAAGAAACATGTTGAACATAAGTACAGTGCAGTAGATATACTGTATATAATACCTAAATAGTACAGAAAAAGTCTGTAATTGTAGGCTATTACGTTGATAAGAGCTTAGAAACTAAGATCGATATCGACAACTGTTTGCGGATCAGCTGTGAGTTCATACCTATATTGAGCTCTACGGAACTTCTAGGTATAAAAATAGAAGTGGCATTCATTCCGAAAACCCCCAAGCGGACTCTACTCTATTTACCTATCTTCGAGTATAAACAAACACCATAAGATATTATTAAAAATTATCTTATGCTTGGAATAATAGTTTTTTTCTGATAAAACTAGAAATATATTAACTAGTCAGGTATCAAGCATGGTATTACCACTTAAAATTATGCAAATACGAGTACATGCTTATCTAAAACATTTCATAAATTAATATACATTTTGATATTTAAATTAAATGTTTTTATATTAAACATTATGTATATATTTAAAAATTAATATATAAACAAGTTTTTCTAATAGCAACTTTTCTTACCCAAAAATGTAGCACTCGGCGAATTATACGCCAAATACTCCTTATTCGAAGCCCAAGCGGGAAATTCATTTTGCTGCACTGCATCGGACACTTCATCACCTTGTCGCTTCCATGGCAACTGCGACTCGGTAGCAGTGGGTGTGGCCACACGACGTTCACCATCTGAATCACGTGAAATATTGTGATCCTCCTCGGGTATGGGGTTTTCAGCAACTATTGTGAGGTAAATTATGCAATAGATAACTTGGAGCGATTACATTTCCATATCATTTGTGAATTCATAACAACTAAATGATACTAAGCATACAATATGGAATTTTTTTTTACAATTTAACTTGATTAAAAAAGCTTTAGCTTGCAAAAAATAAAAGCAGAAAATAACGATTACAAGGCAGTTTGCTGGTTGCATGCAAGATGGCTAAGAAGTGCGTCATTATTTCTCAATTATTATTACTTTTCAGAAATAACATACGTCTTAGCCATCAACATTGTGTTAGTAAATGGTTAATATTGCCGTAAAGGATAAATTATTATTTTTTTTTTTGAAAAAATATATTCTAATATCTTCTTAGCCAAAAGCAAAATCGAAACGCAAGAAAATGAACACAACTTGAATTGAATAGCTACATACGTAAATAAAAGCCATGCACAAAAATGCCATGCTCGTAGTAATCGTGGTGTTTGGCGACGGAAAAATTTTTGCTTGAAACCGATTGGAATTTTTTAAATATTGCATATATAACTTCAATACGTATTTGAAAATAATACTGTTGAATTGAATGGTGAAAAATAAAATTCTTTTGTATGTAATCTATTTTTAGTATTTAGTGAATTAAATAAATATGGCGACACTGCTAGTTTATCTTAAACTAATACTCAAAGACCGGCCGTAATACCGCGGCTGAGGAAAAATTGCCGATATGCAGTCAATACAGTATAACAGAAGCACTCAAACAAAAGCGGTTTACAGATCGGTGAACATAATTTCTCAGCAGAGTCGGTACTTCGAGTAATCATAGTTCGGTTTCGCACCACGTTCACTCTAGTGGATAAAGCATATCCTCGGAGGCGCCTTATCGCGCTCACTGAGAGACGTTATTTCCACTACGGAACAGAGTACCGGCGCGCAACATGTGTAATAAAATATTTTGCGGAAGAATCTTAGCTTGCGTGTCTACAAAATCTAACTCGTGCCAGCATTGAAGCCGTACGGCCATAAAGCGCGTCTCATGTTCTATGAATGAGAACAAAATTTAATAGACGCCGATACCGATTTTCACAAGGAAATTTTGTTCAACAATGAAAGTTCACTTTTAGTTGAATGAGTACGTTAATGAACTAATTTGTCAAATTGGAGGATGTTGATGTAGACGATCGCAGGTCCAAAAAAAATAGCGCCACATGCCAAACAGACATTGAAAGAAACTTTTGGTGGGTTTGTGGCATAGCTTTATAGATCGTGCGATTCAACTCCGCTGGTATATTTTTGTATGGGATATGCGAAGTTACATTAGCTACGATCCTGAAACGATTGGCAACTTGAAAGATAATATTCGGTGCGTTATTTCTGACATACGGTCTCAATTGCTGCTCGAAATCAGTCTTGAAACATAATGACAAGACCCTTTTCTTCATAATAAAGCTAAATTCTTGACGTTAAATTAAATGCATTTTATTTCTTCTTGAATACCACATATCTAAAAATACACCCTTAATTTATGTCTAACAGTAGCAAGGTTTTTCCTGTACCGCTCAGCGTTACAAATGCGGGATTAGGTAAAAAGTATGGTAACGAGAATGGAAGTAATACTAAATTGTGATTAGTGAGAGCAGAAGGACATAAAAGACGAATGAAATCGTTCATTAAGACAGTATTGTAACATATAGTTTTACAACAGACTAAAATTTTGTACAAACTCAAAATGTATATTATATAAACTAGAAGTGACTCCGACTACACAACTATGATGGCGTTTAAAGCGCATTTCTAGAGGCACATTGAATCTCCGTATTGAATTAAATTAAAAAAAAAAAATACGAATAAAAAAACAGGATTTAGAGTTATGAACTCCTGTAGTGCTTGAAAATATTTTTATTTATGAGATAAATAATTACAAATTGATTCGGAGATCTCATTATTAATTAAAGAAGTGATACTCTGGTAGAAGCATCATCATTAACACCACTGCTGCACAATGTATTGAAAAGCAAAAAATTTCAATAAAACGAAAGGACTGCGCGATGTGTCCTTCAAAAACTAATCCTATGTTAGGATATGGAGTGAGTAAGATGTATGCCACCTCAGTGTGAAGAATGCCACATGCATATAACATTGCTTAATTTTATTCTAAATTGTTCTAATTGTTCTGAGGAATCATTGTGTAAACGAAGCCAAAAATTCTGAGTTAATTTAGTATTAAAAACGCAAATCGTGTCTTAATGTAAGAAATAATTTTTGATACTTTTCGTCAAACAAAATAAGTTTCATTATTTAACTAAAATTATCTATGATTTGATCCTTTTATGAACTTTATTAGATTGAATAACTTTGAATATAAATATTTTCAGTTAAAAAACAACATAAACTTATACAGGGTTATCCATTTTGCGGTTTCGAAAATAAAAATAAATAAATTGCATTTAAAATAATATGTTTTTTATATATTTCCTTTAATTTTTTTTTTTTAAGTTTGAACTTTGGATTTACGAAACATATGAATTCCGATATCATTCAAATGACCGTCTCGCGAATTTTATCAAACTTCGATCGATTGAAGCGAATTTTCGACCACTTTTTTCACACATAGTGGACGTTATCTCAACCATTTGGTGATGAATGTTGGTTTTCAAGTGCCAAAGAGTTAAAGGTTTATCCGCATAAGCACCTACTTTCACTTAGTGCCACAAAAAAATTAAAACGGTGTCAAATCACAATATCTCCGTGGCCAATTGACACGCCAAGACTAGAGAATACAGAACCGTGACATTTCTCTCGCATTAAAGCCATATTTGATCCTGTTGTGTGGCACCAACAAGCAGGCCGAAAAAGTCGGTCACATACGACAAAAACGCTCCGACTTGACACGCCGTTGTCGTTCTCCGAGAAGTAGGTCCAAAGACACCTCCGGATCAAAGAGTGCATCAGAAAGTAATTTTCCTTTAGGTGTAATGGTCAATAGTCCGGCTTTAAACGCGTAAGCGGTATCAGCAACAGAAAAAAATACCCGGAGCCCGGAAATATGTACCACGGTATCTGAAAAAAAATTTGTTCGAAAAATCGATGTCAACTGCACCCAAGCGATGTATGTCAGCTAATTTCGGATTTTGAGAATGTTCAGAAATATACACATTCGGATCTTCGGCTAAACTTTTAGTGGCGCTATTTGAGGTGGAACGAACAAAACCATGATGCACAAACCTTACCAGACTTTTAACTAAAATCAAAATGTTTGGTTTGTCAGTTAAGTATGACAGATGTCAAAATGCAGTCCTTTACTTTTGAAACCAAAAAATAGACAACGTTGTATACTATATATTTTACATCACTAAAAGCCATTAAAAGAAGATACGTTGTTATAACGCAACGGTGTATAAAAATGTGTTATCGCACGGTATTAAGTGTATTTGTACGTGATATTTCTTAAAACCCCACTCTTGAATGCCAAAATTAAATGTGGTTAAAACTTATGATAAGATGATAAATTACAGTTCAAAGTTAAATGAGTCGGTTCGTAAGGGTTGAACTACGCTAAGACAAAGCACTATAAAATTCTAAAGTATTTTACAAGCGAACTATTCAATTTTTCGAGCGCTCAACTTATTTAATTCGAAATTTTTACATGTATGTGTAGGTATTTTGCCAATTAGGTAAATAAAGAGGCTGTCTAAAACAAGTTTCATGCCTTATGACTGCCTTAAAGTTCTCAAAGAATGTCAAAACTATCTTTTATACGCTCTTTCAACACCTTGGAGAACTCTCAAGCAGCGTAGATGATAAAAAGGTATGCATTTTATATTTATGAAGGTGCAATTTTCGGCAAAACAATAATTTTGTTTATTTCTGAATCTTTGGAATTTTATTGTCAGTAACCAATTAGTAACCAATAAGCCGGTCTTGAGCAGATATGCATGAATATTGGCTGGTAAAAGCGATGATTTTTTTTTTGTTAATAAGAGTATGCAAGGTGGAATGGCAAATGAACTAGTCTAAATTCCATGAATAAAATTTGTTATTGTTATTACTATTAATTACAACAAACATGGTTTTTTCTGTGTTCCATGAACTCAAATATTTAGGACGCTGAAAAATATACATTTAGTGCTGCTAAATATTTGCGCCTAAAGCAAATGCATTGATATATTGTACACAAAAGGGGGTGTGTGTGTGAGTATATGGAATGAATTTATAATAGAAACTATAATTTAAAAACGAAATGGTATAATGAACGAAAAATTTGGTAGAGAAGGAAACAAATGTTTTGGAAAATATACAAAGCCAACTAATTTGTTTTTAAAAAACTTATAAAACTTTTTTTTTAATGTGAAAAAAAATACATGAAATTTTTCAAAAAAACAGCCAGCAACGCCAAACTTTTCAGAGCAACATTGGCTGGTGCATATTTCGAAGCAATTTCGAATAAAAACATATCTCTTTTTTACACTAAATTGCCAAAGCTGAAAACTACATTTTTTATTTTTATTTTTGTTTTTCTTTGTTGTGATGACTAGTGGTAGTTGTAGTCGTTTATATAGTAAGCCTTTACCAATGCACTGGTAGGAACGATCACGTCGCCATGGCAATATTGACTCGGCCGCTGTCGGGCCCACGTCGGGCGTTAGTAGTTTCTCAGGACTGTCACTTTCGCTTTTCGGTGTGGAATAATGTTGTACAATGCGCGCTTTCGAAGCATCAAAACCGGGTAAATTCTGTATGTGCGCTATAAGTGAATTATTATTTGCTAAATCCGAGTCCGCTGCATTAGTTTCCATATTTTTTGAATATTTTTTTTTTTTGTATGTTTAAAAGTGTTTTCAAAGGCACAATTTTCAAGTTTTCATATATTTTCAAGTTTGCAGTTTATTTAAGTAATTGTGTATATATATATATATGTATGTGTGTGTTTATGTTTAGCGAGTTCCATTGTGGTTGCCAATTGAATTGTTTTATGTATGTACATTGTGTTTCGATATCGTTAGTTTTCAAACGATCGTTCGAATCGTTTCATAACGAGTATTTTGGAGTAGTGCGTGGTTGCATTTAGCACACATTGATATATAGATTTTTTTTTTCAATTTTAGAAACAAATGAAAAATATAGAGAAGTGTTTGTGAAAAAAGAAAATTTTGTTAGATTTTTAATATTGTTACTTTTGTAATAGAAAAGGTTAGTAAAAGTATATAAAACAAAATTAAAATTGTAAAAAATAAAAAAATAATAATTAAAAAATAGTTAAACAGACCATTTCCAAACATTTGTAGTAAAAATGTATCAAGACGAGAATCACAAATCGATAGGAAAATGTAGTCTAAAATCATTTAGACAGTTCTTAGCGTTCTTTATGTAAATTTACGAAATTTCAATGTTATTTTAATTTTGTATATTAGGAAAAACTTATTTTTCTTTATGTTTTATTTTTATTATAGGCAAACATATATATACTTTACTACATATATATTATATATTTTATATTATTCAAAGCATGAATTCTAGTTGAATAAATTAATTTTTATTTCCAATTATGTGCTTAAAATGAGATTTTTTTAAATAAAATTTTCAGTACTTTTTACTTAGATCAAAATGAAGTTTTAATTAATTAAATTTTTTATATTAGCAAAAATATGTTTTATTTTTATTTTTATGTAGCCACGGTAGCTGAATGGTTAGCATTGCGTGAAATAAAGGCTGCCGTAAAAAAACCATCAGCCGTTCGGAGGCGACTTAGTATAAACTATTGGTCCCTCCATTTGTTGGAAAAACATGCTAAATAAATATTTAATTAATTAAAAAATTAAGTCTTTTAATTTTTTCTTTACCAAGTTTTGTAATAAGCTACAAAATCATGTTCGAAATATTTTGAAATGCTCTGTTTTTAAAATAATTTTAAAAATCCTAATTCTCAAAACCATACATATATCTTTTTTTTTTTTTTGCTTGAGAAAATTTTGTTTGTGAATTTTTCTAATATACACATATAATTCTATATATTATATATAAAAAAAATGCTACAACTACAATGTACTCAGAAAATAAACAGCCAATCAGGTTTTTCTAATTTCGAAATTGTGTAAGTAGAAAAGTAAAACTGTTTTCAAATTTCGCAGCGCTGCTTTTAAACTATTAAATTATTTCCCAACTTGTTTTTTCTTTACGAGACACGAATTCGAATGAAAAAGTGGCATTTTTGTGAAAGAAAGAGTGATCAGCAAATAAAAATAAACAAAATTAAAATATGTACTAGTTGATGTGCCGTGAATTTCGAGAATATTTTTCAATTTTTTAATTTAAATCAAATATATTTTTATCTGATATTTGTAAAAATAGTTTAAATACCATATTTTAAATTTCACATAAAATTCACGGCCTTCAAATGTTAGGTTAAGGAGAAATTTTGAACTTCATAAATTTTTAGCATTCAAATTAGAAGAAAAATTACTGCATTAACTCTTTTAATAAGCCAACTTTTTAGAAATCAAAATCAATTAATTACAAATCAAATAAAACACAGGCAACTCAAAGCCAAAAGGATAAAGTTAAGTACTCATGAAATTAAAACTAAAACGACAACAGTAAGCCTTAAAAATTTAATAAAGGTTTAACACAGTTATGGTAGAATATTAGCGCTTATATGTATTGTTTAGATTAGTATTACATATGTAACAGTAGAGGGTACATACATAAAAATTTTCAACAAATTCGTATGCACACACACACACACACACACCACACACATACATTACACACAGCATACGCCCACCCGCAACAATTTCATAGCCTCAAATTACAACTTCCCTCCATTTATGCAATTGTAATGTTATTGTGTGTTGTGTGTGTGTGTACGCTAGCAAATACTTTTAGTTTATTCAAAATAAAAAAGAAAATTATATACTTTACATGACTAATTTTAATTTAACAAAAAATAATTTTACCAAACTATAATGCATTCATTGTGTGTTTGTGATTAATTCAAAAATCATTATTTTTATATACATACATACATATAAGTACTTACGTGAAGATTTCGCCGTAAACGTTAGGCCATCATCCCAATCTTCGCCACTCACAACAGTTACTTCATTCAATTTGCCCAGATTTTCTTCTCCTGATTCATTGAGAACATCATTAATATAATCTTCATTTATATATGTGTATGTGTGTAAATAAAATATTTTAATTTATGGTTTTAAATATGTTTGCGAGGGAATGTTTATTTAATTATCCAAAATATCCGCATAGGTGTGCAAGCAAAAGGTAGAAGGAAACGAAAATACAAGGAGAGAGAGAATATGTTGCCAATATGTAGTGAAATTTCAAAATTTTTCATTAAATGCCAATTAATTATGCTAATCAATAATTATTAATCATTCGTTAAATGTACACAAACTGAAAAAATATATACATATATTAAACAATTTATTGGGTAGGGAAAAGCTATAAACTCAATTTCATTTCATATACAGTATGCTGAATGCTAATATTTAAAGAAATAATTCACCACTTAAAAATTGAAGCTTAAAATTTGATTAAAAGTATTCACAGTGCATTTTAAAGTAGAAAATTTTAATGAATACGAAGAACATGTTGAAGCAGTTTATGTGCAATTGGAATCGAAATGAAATGGTGCTTGCAGTTAAAAATGAAGATAATATTCTTTTTAATTTAGTTGATAAAATTTCATGACGAATTAGGATTTATTAGAATTTATAATAAATATATATATATATATATAAACACCCTAACACTCAAAATATCTTTTTTAATTCTGCCTTCAAATAAGGTACAGTACGTTTCCCCTACGCTCTAATTGAACTTTTGGCACTTAACCTGAATTTGAAATTGTAGCGCTTTTCACGGTAATGCAGATTTCAATATTATTTAAATTTAGATTTGGACTTAATTTCTTATGATCATTACTAGTTTTAAGGGTGTTTTTAGGCGTATAATTTTCAATGAAGCAATATTTTTTCGGATTTGAAATTTTTTGGAAATCTTTGAAATTGGTTGTCAAAATATAGGTTCGGTTGCCGCTACGCATCATACGCTGGCTTCCATACTCCATAGATCATCTGAGATGCCGTACAGTGCGCATTGAAGACGCTATTGCTGCTGTATAACAGGATATGAAGAAAGCTCAAATGAGTCCATCTGCTATCGGGCAAAATGATCTTGAGATACTGGTATACAAGGTGGTACAAGATTTGAAGCCGTTCACTATCAAGTGAACGAGATTGTGGATCCCGATTTTCAAAATGTTACAGTCAATGAGGAGCGCAATGGAGCCATGACTTTTTCCTACCTGACGTGGACGACATTTGGTTTCAACATGGCGGCGAAACAGACCCTACGGCCAAAGAAACAATAAATTTATTGAAAGAAACTTTTGGTGAGCGCATTATCTCACATCGAGGGTTTGTTTTGTGGCTTGTTTATACAGATAATTGGCGCACCAATTGAACCTCTCCGCAGAAATTTAGCCCAACCAGTTGTCAGTTGCCAGAAATCATTTTTAAAACATATTTGCAAACCCTTTACTTTATTATTACTGCTAAATCATTGGCCATAACATTAAATTATATGGTACGTTCTAAAAATACAACCTCCTTTGTTAGACATTTGCTTTTTCTTTTTCTATTATCTAACTCATTATTCATTCATGAAAAGCAATTTCAGAGTTGTATTCGCGAATTTAAGATTTCGATGCAATTTCGTTTAAATTTCGCTTAATTTCCAATTCGAGTTCTTTATAAAGTCGACGAGCTGGAAATGCCTTCTTGGTCTCTTAAAATACGGACGATATTAATTTTCAAAAGAAAATTGACAGTACTGGAAAATGGCACGAATTTACTCAAAAATTTTAAGGCCTTTGCGAGTGCCCACTCAAAGCCCAACCGAGCTGGGCGTGAAGATAATGCGAACTAGAAATACTTTTTGTAGCTATATGTATAGGAATCAATACAAGCTCGCCTTGATAAAGCGTAGTGGAAGCCGAGCCCAGCCGAGAGTAATGCTGACCGATGCGAGTAAACCACTTTCGAACTGTATTATTCAGGGGTTCATTATAATTGACGATTTTCCGCGATTTTACTTAAATCTATTTGCATCGTTTTTTAAATTAATTTGGATTAAAACCGTCCGATAATATAATTAAAAGTTAAAATTTTCATCTACATATGTTTACACAAAAAATCGATCTTTGCTTGATGCAAAATTTATTTCAACGAATCTGGCGAATATTTTCTTTACATTGGGAGGTTTTAAGGAAAAAATGATTGAAAAATAAAGTAAATGCAATATTGAGCGCTGGTTAACGCCTCCAATCTGCTATACCAAATTAAGGCCGATTGGGTTTAGCTTTGCGGTCGGCTCGGTTAGGCGTTGAGCGTGCACTCCGCAAGAGGCCTCGGAGAAAATGAGTATTTTAATGAGAGTTCTCGTTGATCTTTAGTTATCAAAGTAACATTTATAGCTGCATTTTGTTCTTACAATAAAAAAATCAATTTAAGCTTTGGATTAAAGTAAATCAGGATAAATATTTTCCTAGTATATGTTTTTGATATTTTTTTGCTTCATTTCTTTGAAAAAAAAAAAATTGTTTTTAATTCATTGCACAATAGTAATGGCATCTTTTCACTTTTAATTTTAAAAGTTGAAATAAAATTTTAGTTTAAAGAAAATTCCTAATTAAAAAAATCATTCCGCTACCCTTTGAGAATTTTAATTTAATCACTTGAAAATTGAATTTGTTTGGATTTAATTTACTTTTTTTTTGCACAATTACCTATTTCTAATCTACGATATTTGTTAAGTGAATTGTGATTATGTTTTCTGATTAGAATTTTGCGAAATGGATGTTTCGTTTTGTTCGTACCATGCGTAAATTGTTTCGTTGTTCCGTTTTGTTGGAAATCGTGGAAAGAAACGTGATTCTGCTTGACACCATCTTGTTGCTATAATAAAAATTAAATTTAATTAGTCATATACAACATTTACATAACATTGTTATTTATGCACATAAGGTATGTATACAGTAAACGAATATTCAGTATATATGTACGAGTATATACATATGTAAATATACTATCGTAGAGCTCACCTTGTTGGCGCCTCGTTTGCTGCGCTTGTGATGTTTCCGATCGTTGAACATGCGTCGGAAGTTCATTTGCATTTTGTAATTTACCTGTAATGTGTTTCAATTAAAAGTGTATATGAATTAGCATCAGAAAACGTAATTGCATGATATTTTCCAAGTGAATGCATTTGGATTGGCATTGCTTGCAAATTATGTAAATATAATTTTTTGGGATTTTATATTTTTACATTTTGTGTTTTAATTATTAACACATTGATTTTTGCTATGCAGTAGTGCAATTCAACATTTCAGAGATTTGTCAATTGTTGTTGGTTTTATTTTATACAACTTTTTTCATTTTAAAAATTTTTTTTTTTTTTTTTTTTGCATGGCGACTTACCTGCGTAGACAAATCTCTGTCATCTACTGCGTGACGGCTATAACTAAGGCGGCGGTGCTGTAAAAATAAAATGCATTTCACAAGGTATTAACGACACGTTTTTGGTTTGAGTTTTTTTTTCTTTTTGGTTTGCTTTTGGTAAGAGCAACACACTAGAATTACACTAAGAATTCAAAAATAAAAGTTGAAATTAACTTGCAACAACTAAGCTTCTGATATTTAGGAAAAAGTTTTATAGGAAAGCCATATGAAAATTTGATTTTACATTGAAATGTTAAGAGTTTGGAATTTACAAAATTTATAATTAAGAATTTTATGTTTTAATTATTTCAGGGATTTTAGAAAAAAGTTAGCTTTTATTAGAAAAACATTGTTTTTAAACTATACAGCATGTCAATATCAACAATATAAAATATAATATTAAAATTGTATTATCTGAGAAACATGTTTCTGAAAAATATGTACATATATGCTTCAAAAATGTATTATGAAAAATTATTGAATAAAAAAATGTTGAAACAATTTAAAACACCAAAAATTATTTATTTATTTTTTTTATTTTATTATTAGCATTTAAAAGATACTTTATTGCTTTGTTGCTAGCAATTTTGAGAAAAAGTATTTGAAATAAAAAAAACTAAAATCTAAAATTTAGTTTAAATTTTAAATAATAAAAACAGTTGAAAAATAGCAAAAAATAAAATATAAAAAAAATGTTATTAACAAAAAAATATTATAATTCTTATTGGTAACTCTTGTGGTAAACAAATATATGAAATAAAAGAATTAAAAACTAAAAAATAAATTAATAAGTAAACTGTAAAACAGTAAAAACAAAACGGTAAAAATAGAATATAAATGAAATAAAATGTTAAAAAAGTATTAACAAATAAAAAATATATAGCTATATAAAATATATATATATATATAGAATAAAAAAATAAAATTATCAACATAAAGATAAATTATAATTCCTATTGGTAGCAACTTTTAGTAAAAAATATAAAATTAATAAACCAAAAATTAAAATTCACTTCAATAAAGTTGGTTGTAAAATAGTAAAAACAAAAATATAAACATGAAATAGTAAATAAATTATTATTAACATTTGAAAGAAAGTTTTTAGCTCTCATTGGTAAAAAATGCTTACTGCAAAAAGTTTATAAAATCAAAAAATAGAAAAAAAAATAAAAAATAGTTTAATAAATTCAGTTGTGACATTCCAAAAATAATATAATAAAAATGTTATATTAAAGAAAAATATTAAAAATATAAATGTTAACATTTAAAAAAAATATAGCATGAACTGATTGCAATATTTAGTAAAAAATATGCATATATAAAGTAAAATACTTAAAGGTTATTTTATAAAGTCATAAAACAGTAAAGCCCAAATAGTATACAAATAATTATTAACAATCAAAGCTTTTTTAGGGTAAAAAAATTATAAAGTGAATAAACCAACTTGTGATTATAAAAAAAAAAATTGTACAAAATTATGTATGTACATACATACAAATATTAAGCTACACCGAGTGTTAAGAAATTTTTGTGCATATTAAAGTTTTCAATTTTGTTTTTGTGTTCTACCAATCTAAGTGCGTTTAATGTGAAAAAATACCAAATATATTTACAAAGGATGTCACTTCGGCCATACTAACGCATACAGACCATGCTAAAGGCTTATGAAATCTCACTTGTGGAGTTACATGGATTTCATAGCTTTAAAATAAAATCCGAATCGAAATAAAAGTTTCGAAAATACAACCTTGGTAGATGTGCGCTCAAAGGCGAGTAGGCGGCAGAGCGCTTTAAACTTTAAACGCACTTTTCTCGACAATGCATTTTCAAAGTCGATTGTCAAAAGTTTTCGAAAATAACTCAACCGATTTTTATATTCAATTCAATGATGAAGGATTGATTTCTTTTTCAAGCACAACTATTTAAAAAAGAAAAATGCTCTATAAAAAATCAGCCACAAAACCGATTCACGCTTATTTTATTTTTTTTTTTCCAATTTTTGTTTATGAAACTTACTAAAATACGATTATATTTTATTTTTCACTGCGGATGATTCTATCATGAGTTCTACTTTCAATGCCTCTTTTCGAGGTGTCACCGGAAATGACATCGCAAGGGCGGAGCTATGAATTTCGTTTCTTGAATTTCAGAATTTTTTTATCGAATGTACATATGTATATCCCTAAGACAGTAAACAGTTTGAATAAAATATTTTATTTTCATTACGAAATATTCAAAATAGCCCTTTTTCTTCCTTGACCCCTTAATATAGGTAAGTGTAACAATTTAATTTGAGCTCGCTTTGATATACCAGCGCTAAAATAATGTTAATTTGTTAATTATAGAGGCAAAACTACATAAAGTTTTATGAATGATTATTTTTAAAAAATAAAATTTGCTGTTAACTAGTACGACCGTTAGTATAATCCTATGCATTTACTCAGGTGTACATACATACATTTATATCATAAAATATTTTAGGGATTATTGTGAAAACTACAAATAAGAAATATTTTATACATTAAAAAACATACAATTTTCAAAATAAACTAAGAGTAAAGGATTATATTGAAATATTTGTCTGATAATTTTTTTTTTGTTTAGCTTAATAAAGTTCACTAGTAAAAAAGACATCAAATTCAACAGTTTTCATTAATTATTAAAATAATTATTTATAGTTTTAATTAATAATGTGTTTTTGTTTAGCAATAGTAGCAAAAATTTATTTTATTATTATTTATATTAGACGAATAACATAATATGAAAAAAGACTGACAACAATTAACAACCAACAGCAAAATATCAGTAGCAAATATGTAGATGCAAATTTTTTTTTTTATAAGAAAATGACCAATATTTTTAGCCATACCATTTGCATTGAAGCCTGCTCGAGAGATTTTTCATTTATTTTTTTTTTATCAATTTGAATTGGTGAACGTTTTGTTTGGAATTAAATTTCGTCATTTTCGTTTCGAGTACGTTTTTATTTTCGGACATTCGAGTTAGATAATTTATGATTTTTTAATAAATACGCGCATAGCGTCACGTCGTAACATAAAAAGAGGAAAAAAACATTTAAATTTCGTTAAAAAAAATTAAAGCCTTTTTAAATACTCAAATACTGCAGTTTTATATATTGAGTATATATATGTATGTACGTAAAAATATTTTACAAATCAAATAAGCAAAAAAAAATTAAAATAATAATAAAATAAATAAATAAATATGTATATACATGTATACATTATTTATATATATTTATTTTGTATTTGTGTAGTACACATAAGAGAAGGGTGTGGAAAATAATCTATGGAAAGCAAATTTACATAAATATAATAGTAATATATGTGTATATGTTAAAATGAATGGTTTCTATTGTATAAAGTAATTTTGGTATTTATTAAACTTATTGGTTTGCTACATTATTTTATAGTACAATATATATATGGATGTATAATTAAGGAATTAACTGAGAATTTCTGACGTACCCTTCTATATGGTTTCAACTCCTCGGCAAGCAGATGGTGTATTTTCGCATCTGTAAGATCTTTCTTCGACGGATTGTAGTCCAACTCATGCATATCTAGATTGCGTGAACAGCTATTGTCCAGATTCGTGAGGCTTGGACTATTTATATGAGATGAAAATTATAATTCAAAATAATTAAATTGTTTTCGGTAAACGGTAATTTATATTTTATTTATAAAGCATGGTTAAAATATGCATTAATTTAATTTTTGATAATTATACTTGAGAAATGAATACCATGATATGTCCAATAATTGAATTACAAAATATTTTGATCTAACCATGCTTTACAAAGAAACACTTATTTATATGAGATGCATTTGACATAAAAACACAACAAATAAATAAATAATGTGTGATGTGAAGGATATATTTTAAGTGTTGTATTTAAAATTAAACATTTTATTTATACAATATTTAATAAAAACATAATAAAGTAAACGAATTTTAGTTACTGTGCATTTTTACGGTAATACATATTATTGTGTTTGAGTATTTTTCAAACATTATTTTACTGACAAAGCGAAAATCAATAAGAAAACATTTAACAAGAGGTTCCGCTAACAGACAAAAGGATTTTCATTGCAGCTTATAGTTTTTTGGAGAATGTATTATATATACATATCTTTTTTTTTATTACGCAGTCGTAAGGTCTAAGGGAATAGCAAAAAGTAAAAAAGGAAATTTTACTCAAATTAAACACAATTTTTTTTCGACAAAAATAACATAAAAACTGCATTTAGAGCAACAGTTGCAATAAAAATTAACGTTTTTTCCTGCATATCAATACTTACATATTTTTCACTACATATTTAAAAAAAAAATTAAAAATAAAGTCAAAGGATAACACAAGCTTTCTATTGCCTTAGACTAGAGACATGCTAAGAATTAACAGTAATGTCACTACAACCAAAATTATCTATTAAAATATTTTGCTAATATGGGCAGTAGTTTTCGGAGAAAAAAAAAAAATAAAATCAAAATTGAATAGCAAATTAAATTGTCTAAAAATTAAATTCATATCACAAGTCGTATAATTATTTTTCGCATTTACGAGAATTACTGTTACATGCACATTTGCTGTATTTTTTCAGTTTTTTTTTTCATTAGAATTGTTCCAAAATTCGTTTACCATGTTGTGTAAATAGTTGGTGGTGCCCACCTTCCACCAATACAATTACTGGTGTAATTTCTGAAGAGAGCACTCATCGATTCGGTGGCCGTTATTTGTCCGATCGTAGATGGATTGCGACGCATTACTTCCATAGCATCACGCATCGTAAGTTTTGAATAGGTTTCAATAATTTTCGGTTCAGCGCCCTTTATTGGAATATATAGCATTTTATTTTTTTTTATTTTTATTTGCATTTTAATTTTCATTTAAAAAAAGATTAATTTTGTTTACCTTTAAGTCCCGGATTACTAGTGGTCTTATGAAGCGATTATCGAAACGCTTGAACTTATCGCGTACATTGTAATTGCCAGTTTTACCAATAATATCCTCAATTCCAGCCATTAGATGGTCCATGAACTAAGCAGAGATGATGAAAAATGTATTTATTAATGTATTTAACTTGTTTACAAATAGGCGTCGACGCTATGAAATAATAATATGTATGTTTAAGTCTGAAATGTCATTAATACTTTTTTAATTTTAAACAGATCAGCTATAAAATTGAGATTTATATACGGGGTTATCTATTTGGCGGTTTCGAAAATAAGCGTAAATTAAAAACATTTAAAATATTTTTTTTCATGTTAATCCTTTTTTATAATATTTTATTAGCCTTGACATTATGTAATATATGAAATACTAGATCATTCAAATGACCGTCACGCGAATTTTTGCAAACTTCGATGCGTTTGAGGTATTTTTCGACCACTCTTTGGCACATATTGGACGGTAGCTCAGCAATAACAAGATGAATGTTCTTGGTCAAGTTCACAAGAGTTAAATGTTTATCCGCTTGAACGCAGTCTTTGGCGTAGCCCCACAAAGAAAAGAAGCCCAACCGTGTCAAATCGCATGATCTCGGCGGCGAAATAACATCGCTAAACCGAAAGATTTCATGGCTGAGAAATTTTTCTCTCAGCTTCTGAGAGCAAAATGATTATATGCAGGCCTTACAATATCTGTAACTGATCGGGTCTCTTAAAATTTCCTGAAAATTTTACCAATTGCTTGAACAGGTGAACGATTTATGTACATAGTTGTAAGCACTGAAGCGATTATTCTTTTGCTGGCATGCGTCTTGATAGTTTACTAAACAATGCGGTTACAAAGCGCCACATGTAAATACAGCTAGTAGACGCGGCCACATGTTGCAGAAGTTTTCTGTAGCTGGTCTAATTCTTAATCTCATTGATAGTGCTAAGAATGATAGCAAAGACCCTAATTAAGCATCAGCTGAGTTGAAATATTATATTTTTAACTACTTATTTGCATTTCAAGTAAATCGAACTATAAATGAAATTTGTTCGAGTAGCTCAGTCCTTGGTACTTTTCCTAATCATTAACTTTTCGCATTATTTTATGCTAACACTATCAACGGTATGTATGTATGTATGTAGACATTATATATGTATCAATAACATTCCATTATGGAGTTTAGTAAATTTATGTAAAGGTTGGCGGTACTCACTCGTTCATGTATGCGTTCATTCATTGTTGGCTTCTTTTTACTGGCACGTTTCACGTTCAGCATCTTTACCAGCGGCTTTATCGTGATGCCTTGCAGGAAAACGGTAAAATAAATCACCGCTATTGTAGTCGTCACATACATATCCTTCTGTTTGACAATCCGTTCATCAACCAATAGGACCAATGCGAAGGCGACCGCACCACGTAAACCGCCGTAGGACATAACAAATTGATCGACACGTGACAACTTGTGCAAGCGGAAACGATTCGCCAATGCAGATAATATCACAACTCCTGCGTGCATGGGCACATGCGGGTGTGCGTGCGTGAGTTGGCATAACAATGGCAGCGAAGGATGCATAAAAGGAGAAATGAATATTTATGAACGAACGTGTTATAAATTAAAATATTGTTAATGTCGTCACTCACCGAAAACACGATAGACCGAACAAAATGTGATAGTCAACAGCACAAAGGCAGTATTCCACACGTGATTATTATTGACTGTTGCTACACCAAGGAACATGAATATAATTGTTTCAGATGAACTGGATAACATTTTGAGTGCATATTTTATTGTTGTATGTGATTTTTGTGATATATTCGCTTCAACGTAATTCTTCATTGTAATGCCGCAGAAGGTTATACTGCAAAATAATTTCAAAAAAAAAAAAGGGAATATTTTTTTTTTTGTTGCAGTGAAAAGATCAAAATTGAATTTTATTTACGCTAAAATGCCGCTCATGTGGAAAATTTCCGCATTTAAATATGCCAAATACGCCATGACGAAAATAAATATTGGCTCAATAACGCGCACATGATCGGTGAAACGTGTCACTAGACCGGTGAGGAAGCCCCAAATGATGCCTGTGAATTATGAAGAAAAAAGTTAATATAAAAATCAAATATTTATTATTATTATCATTATAATAATTTTTGAAGTACTAATGTATTATTTTATTTGTTTGGTTGAAAAACAAATATTGCTTTTAAATCTAAATGTTTCTGATCTTACTTCAAAGTCAATTTTTACGGTTACGAGGATTGCCTTTTATATTTTGGGGTTAGAAAGCTAAAACAAATATTAATAATCGAAAACAGTTTTATTGTTTTTCAAAATATTCTCCATTAAGATCATTAGATCTATAAGCTTTATCATTTGAACCGATTGTCGAAGCACCCTTGCCTTTCTGATTGAGTTATCTCTAAAATATGCGTTCTAAAAGCATCAACTGTGTAAAAAAACGTTGACCTCTCAGTTTATTTTTTACGTACGGGTATTAAAAGATGTCATTCGGTGCCAAGTCAGGACTTTACGGTAGAAAACTCATCTAATCGATGATTTTAGTGATAAAAATGCAGTTTTTTCATTTAATGTGTCAGAACTTGCATTGCCCTGGTGAAGAGTGGCCCATCTTCGGCGGTTAGTTTCTCTGATTTCTTAAGAGACAACTGGGAAAAAAATAGTTGTGTACTACGCAAAATTTCCTATTATGCGTGGTTCTAGTAGTATGGCCACGACATATCCAATTTTTTCCAAAAAAAAAAAAAAAAGACCAACCATTCGTGTTTTGCGCAAATAATTTTTTTTGGCGCTGGCTCATCTATGAAAACCCACCCATACACTCAACTGCGGTTAACCTATCACGATGTCAACCGCTGACGTATTTTTTCACATTTCTCTCGACCAATCAACACGAGCCTATTTTGGGGCATCGACAAATTATGTAGAATCCACCGCGAACAATTTTTTTATAGTCATGCAATAGTAAATGTGTGCTGGTCCTACTAATGCTTATAGTTGCCTCAATCTTACGATAGATCACATGATGATATTGTAATGCTAGTTTCCCAAAAAACAACTGATTTTGGACAACCTTCACCATACCATCGATAAATACTGGCCCGTGCGCCCTCATCGCCATCACCACATCGAAAGTTATAGAAAATATTCGCAGGAAAAAGTTCGGCAATTAATTTCATTTTTGGCGGTGATTAATATTTTAAACAACATAAATAGCGATCGTATTTCAAAACGATCCGAGTATGTGCAACCAAAAACATATCAAACTTTACAATAAAGTTAAAAGTTGTCTGATTGCAATAATAGATATCCAAATTCCGAAATATTTTAAGCAACCCTCGTATAAATTTGATAATTGAAAATTTAAATAATGTTACTTACCAATTACAGTACCACCAAAGGCCACAACGAAGAATGAACCTACGCCACTAGCAATATCTTGAGCTATAATTTCAGTTATGCCGATTTCGTTGTATACTTCCATCATATGATACATAACAACCTAAAGTAATAACAGAACATTTTAAGGTTACAAAATAACAGATGATTTGAACAAAAACATTTTTTAGAAAGTCGATAATACGACAGAATAATAAAGACAGACTAGTAATTGCAATAACATTAATTTTTCAAAAAGTATGGTTTTTAAACATATCCATTAATATGTAGTAATATCTAGATATTCGTACTTACCGTTACAGCATCGTTCAACAAAGACTCGCCAAACACCACAATATATAGCACTTCATTGACGTGAATCTCTTCGAAAACCGCTAAAACAGCTACTGGATCAACAGCAGAAATGAGCGCTGCAAATAGGAAAGTATCCAAAAAACGTGGCACTTCAGGACCAAAGAGACCAGTTAAACCGCAACCCCAAAGTGACAGACCTGGAAACATATGTGAAGCAAATAAAAATTAAAAATATTTATAATTTTAGTTATAAATAATACAAAACTTTTAAATCTGTCAACAATAATTACTGTAGTGTAGTGTAGTCTCATCTGTTTCTGACGAAAACAATGTTTTGCGTCTCTTCAAAAATGTCCGAATTTATGTTAAAAAAAACAGCATTTGCAGGAAGGTTTGATATTTTTGTTATAGTTGTTGCTAAGGTCCATCGTATTATTGTGAGAGTTTATGGTGATGAATAATTTGGCCAACGCTTCCATTGAAAGTCATGAAAGGGAGGAATTTTGGCACCGGATCGTGAGTAGAGACAAAGAGTATATACTCTATGATAACTCCAAGATGAAAAAATACTATGCCGAGCCTTGTGAACCTGTTCCAACATAGTCCACATTGACGACAAAGTAAAACTTCCATGGTTTAAAGGTCATGCTCTGCATTTAGTGGGAAATGAAACCAATGATGCGAATCGTTATCGACTACAATTAATGCGTTTAAGCAGTACATTGCGTGGAAAATGGCCAGAATCGACTCGGCCCCACGAGCTGTAACGATCAAAAACTACATAGAAGCGCCGAAATTGGTTCTTACCTCCCTCGCCATATTTTTCAAACTTCGCTCCTTCTGACTACTGGCTTCTCAATAACTGGATTGAGGACAGAGAGGACTCACTTTTTGGACGCTACAGGCGCTACGTGAATCTTTTTGCAGTTTTCATTAGTACAAGCAGGATTCTAAAGTATCTGCACTGAGAGTTTACACTATTCCTTAAAAATACTAGTAAAGTACTAGTATTTTAAAGATGAAATCAACCAGCAACGGATGTGCTGCTGATGTTGTCATGTGTGAGATTCACGGTTCTAATACCTCTATGTATAAGTGAAATTATTTATTTTTACTTTATATAAAGTTTAAATTCAACATACATTAATGAACTGGTACTTAACTAGTATCAAATTAGCATTAATCGGTCGCGGTGATAAAAAAAGGCACATACAGACAATAATTATTGATGATGTACTAGTTGATAAGATTCAAACTAAACTACTAGAATCTTTCTCTGCAGGGAATTTCAATGCGTATACATATATAGATGCCGCTTTTCATCATATACGTATATATTTGAAAATTTCGATAAACGTTTCAATTGTGAAGCCGTGTACATGTATATGTGAACTTAAATGGAAAACCATATTGGATATTTTTGGAAGCTTTTGACGCACTTGTGATGACTTCAATTTGAAATATGAAAACGTCAGTACTTGAGGTGTTCGTACGAATGCCAGCAGTTCACGCAACAGTCAAGTGTTGCATGCTGGATGAAAAGTGAGAGGTAAGAGAAGGGTAAGGTAATTCCGTAACATATTTGTACATACCCCCACGTTAGATCATTGCTTCCACAAAACATTTTCTCTGCTGTCATTGACAGTTGTAGAGCGTCAATATGAGCAGTTCAGCTATATTACATATATTCATAAGAGGGAGCTTTCAATGCATTAAGGATGTTTTATATAAGAGGTTGTATGCTTTGGAACACTGGCAGAGAAAAGGTGGAATGCCTCTACAAAAGTAAGCGTTCGTAAAATTAAAAATGTTGAGCGCTGAAATTTTGAATTGAAAACGTGAATGAAATGAAAGGCTTTGGATGGGCGTAGAACAGTGTTGAGTTAAATTTTTACGGGGCAACATACTATAGAACAGTACGAAATCTGAACAAAGATGACTTGAAAAGAAACTTACTTGCAGTTGAAATCGTTCTTAGCAATTCCAATCATAATCGACTTTTACAGCGCACTCACGATATAAAGAGTTTTGTATCATGACACATTTGCTGCATATGACTTTTATTCGACGAGTCTGCGTCGAAAGGCGATACATTTTAATTCCGAAACCTTGATTTAAATGTTTGAATATTTGCATATTTGCAGAAGAAAAAAGTTCTCCGTCAAATCACATTGATGCACTTCTAATATCTAAAAATATTAGCTGCATTGAAGTTTAGCTTCCAAGTGTTCCGAAGCAGAAACAAAACTATACTCACGCTCTGGAAATGTTCGATATGCGATAGCCAACTCGTGAGCTCATGTGAAACTTTCCGCCAAGGCTAAAAGGTGAGCTTTAGGGGAGCCACTAGAAGAGATTTAGTTTAATGGTTTAAGGTTAATTGAATTGAAGCTGAGCAATACAAACAGATCAGTCGGGTAAGGGCTCTTCGAGCAGCTCGATATCGAACGGGATTTCAAACAAAGTGATTTTCTGTCGCGTAAATGCCATTTTATAACGAGCAGATTTAATCCGGATTTAGTTCCTGCGTCGCGCGATACGTCAAACATTCCGTCGATATAATCACCCAGCCGAGTCTTTAATTCCAGCAAATATGAATCGGATCAGTAAAAATTGAAGCCGAGGGACTTCAAGTGCATCGCAAGTTCGATAAATGGGAAAAAACGAGATTTCCACGTACCCTGATTTTCACCTGAAAATTTAGTTCAACGAAATGGGAAATTAATACACAAAATTGTCGTATTTGGAGTGATGTTAGCCCACAAACCATTATGCTCAAAAGGTCACTGTTTGGTTTGGTCAGAGGGAATCATTGGTCCATAATGTTACAGTCACTAGAGAACGCCTTGATTAATGCATTTTTCGTGCCTGCATTGGAACCAATAGAGCCAAAGGAAAAAAATCAAACTTTGTTGAAGGAAGGAAGGTGTGCGCATTACTTCTTAAAAGGCACATGTCTAAAAACCCCGTGTAATAATTTAATAATTTTCTGAAAGATACATTCGAAAATTGCATCAATAATTGTGAGGACACCACGATTTTACTATTTATAACTAAAAAGTCGAAATCAAAATCTAAGGCACACAAGAGCTGCCAACATTACACCAAACAGACAGCTGAGCTTTTAATAGAGATGTTTACTTATTAATTAACGATTTAGTATGTTCGAGCGCCAACCAAACGCTGAGTGAAGTTCCATATGACAATATATGTACATATGTGCGTATGTATGTACGTATTATAACTGCAAATAACGCATAAGTACTTGCAATCAATTAGCGGTCATTAGCGAGCTCAGTTTAAACCAATGGAACGGCAAGTGAGAGGCTCAAAAGTAATGTCCAGTGCATCCAATGTGGGAAAGCTGTTGTAAAAAAATTGTTATTCTTCTATTATAAGTAGCGAGTCTTGCTTATTTTTTAATGTGAATAAAAAATTAATTAATTGTTTCTTGATTAATTCATTTGCTGAGTACTGTTTGGTTAAATTTATGTATAATTTTGTAATGCTTAAAAATGGCAAAACTTATTATTTTGCCTCGCTTGCCCTTGCAACACGTGACGGACATGATCGGAGCCGCAAGCAATTTTCCTCTCAACGTCTGCCAAATGCATAAGCGACGTCAAACTGTTTCATAACCGCTGCCTTTTTTTCATTTTCTCTATTAATAATTTTATTATTTTTTTTCTTGCATTATATAATGCGCTGACGTACATAAATAGTTATGAGCACATTCATTCACATACATAATGTAGTAATATATTTGGATAAAAAAAAAACAACGAAATTGATTGGAAAGTGGCGGTTGCTATTGAAACTGGACTGCTTTGCTCATGACAAGGAAATTGCTGACCAATCACTTGGACACTTAGCAACAGTTGATGGGCAGTTAAAAACTATGCAAAGTGCAATTGAAATTGTGTGCCAATACATATTTATATATTTCCATAAGCCTCATAACCCCGTGAAAATTTAATAGTTTAATAAAATGCATTTTTTTATAATTACAAAATTAAAATAACAAAATTATGTTTTCTTTTCTGAAAAAAAAAAAAATTATGTTGTTGATGTGTTCCTTATTACTTAGTTATTATTATATATTAGTTATTAGTTTTCTTCTTAGTCCCACTCACTGCTAGTTATGCATAGCCTTATACTTAAAAATTCACACACACACAAAACCAGAAATATTATGGTATAAAATAATTTTTCGTTGCACTTAAGCAAACAATTTTCCGGCACGGCTCCACGTGCCGTTGATGAATGCAATTTTGCAAATACTTTTTTTCCTTCGTTTTTATCTTTTTCACTTTGTCACTTTGTCACTTTATGGGCAAAGTAAGCACTCGTCAGCAAAAGAGAAAGATAAACAAGAGCTGCGCGGCGGTTGAATAAGAAGCGCCTTTGTCAATCAACTCAACTCATCACTCAAATTTATTATATTTACCATACATTAATTTCCGCTTTTCAACAAGCGAACAGTGGACTGGTGAAGGGTGTCAAATAATATTAAATAAATTTAATATCATAAATAATACAAAACAAAAAGTATCGCGGCAGTGCAGCGTTAAAGTATTAGAGAATTTTTGCCCATATAAATTTTTTATTTATCTATAAAGATAAGCACTAATAGTTTTGTCACTACCTGATATTTTTTCTACGCCTTCTGGACAAGTGGAACTAGCAGCAAAATTTAATTTTCAAATAAAAATACTTCCAAACTTTATTTTGAGCTCCGTCAATTATGACTAAATAATGAGCAATAACATCTGCCAATTCAGGCACAAAAAAAGCAACAAGTCTTGCCTCTTTGAGAACCACGCGTCTAAAATCACCCCTGTGTTACATTTGATTTCGAAGTGCCGGAGTGCACGATTTATAGAGTCTCCAGATATGCGTTTACAAATGCAGAACTCTGTAAACTTCCTACTTTTGCAAGCCACCCAACTCGAGCAGATTATGCTAACCCCTGCGGGTTAGGGGCTCAAGAATTTACCCGCGGTAAGGCATGCCTGTCGTAAGAGGAGACTAAAATCCAATAGTTCCCGCGACAGTCGGGTCTTTATACCGGAACGACCCCGATTTTTATCCGGCCAAGGACTGTCACTCCCGCAACATTCCCCAAAAAGTACTATGGGGAATAATTTTGCGGTTACAACAACAGCAGATCAAACTTTTGTGTAATTTTGGAGCCGGATTAAAAAAGAAGGAGCTTTTGTGGAAAACTCCGACGCTTTCAGTTTAATCTTCTGTTGCAGCAAGCCACTCCTTATGAAAATTTGCCTCAAGCAAGACTGACTCCAGTAAAGAAGAGACAAACGTACTGGGTGAAAACTTCCAATTCTGAGTATGGCCATGGCAAACGTATAAGTGACTATGATTTCATAGCATGAACTTGGAATGCACAACGCCTTAATTATGAAGCTGTTGCCGACTAGCTAATAAAAGTCCTGACAGAGAACGAGGCTGACATTACTGATGTTTAGAAAATTCGATGCACGGGACAAGAAAAAAATTATATATGTAAGTACCTGTAACTTTTATTGAGTGCGTCAATTAATGGAATGGAAATTTGATACTGAATTTGTTGCGCCGCACTGGTCGAATCCACCCCTAAATAAGGTTTTCTAACGTCTTGATGTTACCAAGAATACATTCTTTGAGCACCACTTCCATAACAATACCAAAAACCTAGATTAGCGATGTTAATTTCGAAAATCAGCAAGGAAGATACTTTTGATACAATGGTCGGAAGATTTAGTCTTAACGACCAGAACAAAGCTGAGCCGATCGACTTCACCATGGTCTGAATTATGGTTGTCTGTAATACTAGATTTTAAACAACACATAAACATCAGGTATTTGAACGTTAACGGTTCGAATACATCGAGGTCCATTTATGATTATCTGTAATATCAAAGACGAAATTTTTTTTATCTATCAGGTGTACAACTTTGCTTTCGTCGTTTTCCGATAGGTGGCTGTACCGGCTGAGGCTGGTTGAAATGCCTTTAAAGTGAGTATGGACAGTGCCTAACGAATTGTCATCGCTGTTTCAGTGAGAGTTCTTCTTGTTTTCGTATTATTCACGCTCGAAAATGTCCGTTTATGTGCCTAATTCTCGCCATTACTTTTCTGTTACAATTCGAAAAAAAAAATGTAGCTGAAGAGCATCGAATGCTTTCAGAAACTTACAGTGATGCCGCTCTGAGTGAAAGCCCGGGCATGCTTCTTCGTCGAAGGCAAAACCGAATATTCACGGCGCCAAGGTTATGATTTGTATTTGGTGGGATCAGCTCGGTGTGATTTACTATGAGCTCTTATAACCTGATGAAACCATCACAGGAGATCTCAACCGAACGCAACTGATGCGCCTAAAAGAAAAGCGGCCACAATATCAAGAGCGACATGACAAAGTCATCCTCCAACACGTCAATGCTCGGCCTCACGTCGCAGAAGTGGTCAAAATATACCTGGAAACACTGAAATGGGAAGTCTTGCTCCAGATGTCGCCCTTCTGACTTCCACCTATTCCGTTCGATTGGCAGATCAACATTTTCAATCCTTCGAAGAATTGGAAAAATTGATTGCTTCATAGATAGCGCCAAAAGAGGACTCCTTTTTTCGAGCCGGGATCCGAAAATTGCCGAAAAGATTGGAGAAAGTTGTCGCTAGCGAAGGACAATACTTTGAATAATATATCTGTAAGCACTTTTTCGCAATAGAGCTTTTAATTTTGGAAAAAAAACCACCAAAGCTGTACACCTGATTCTTGGTTCGGGTCGTTTGTGGAATCAGAATAAACGAAAGAAAATCCCTCTGTTTGAAAGTTTAGGCAAATAAGGCACTGACTTTACTTGATTCGCCCTTAACCACATAAGCACTATACGAGGAAGAGGAAAATAGAGTAAGCTAACCGAAAGCAAATACCGGTTTATAAAACCCATATATGGTAAATAAGTTTAAATAACAACCAGTCAGCAGTTAAGTTGAATCGATAATTTTGATATGGAAGATGGTGGTGATCATGTGAGAAATTGAGAGAAGGTTTTAACCAAAGAGTACTGAATCTGATTAGCTTAGTAAACAATGGATGGAAAAGCTATAAGAAACTTATGATGCCATTAGTAGATCCAAACGACATAAATATTGGGTCGGATTCCAAAAAGCAACAGAATGCCCGCTTTGGACATCGTTAAGGTCTTTTATACGATTTCTTGTAAGTAGTCTCTTCTGGTGAAGATTCATGTCGATTTTCAAAAAGAAAATACTCACGCACCGACAAACAACCATATTACGGTTACATAAATAACACCAGTTTCATAATAATAGTTCCTTATGTAGAGCAAATATAACTCTAAATGCAGTATCAAAGTGCAACCATATTATATGAACATGCACTAATCGGTAGCCATTTATGTATGGTATATGCTGACATAATAAAAAATGATAAATAAATAAATAAGCATTGAGCAATGTTGACCGTCTGACTGGCAACGAGCACCCTTCCCAGCTCGCCATGCACCACGATGGCGCTTAATATTTCACAATCACATTAAGCAATTTGTTGGCATACACCGCAATTAATTGAATTGAAGTGAATGAATGCCGCCGGCCAGCCGGTCGGGTGAGCACACACAGCGGTGGCATAAAGCATACGCAGTACAGTCAGTCAGTACGCAACGAGCAGTTGAGATAAAAAATGATTTTCTCAGTACCCCTGCAGTGTAACAAATAATATAGAAAATTATATTTGTAAATAAATTACAAATTGGTTCATAATAAAATACGCTCATAAATATATTATAGACATAGACAGTTGAAAATAAATATATATGTACATTAGGTGGAGTCAATGAATGAGCTTTTTATTGTACATCGCTAGGTGGGAGAAATTTAACTTTTTATTTAAAGATAGTTTTTAAATTATATCGGAAGATGTATTCCAGGAATGGATTTCCAGACAGACCATAAGCATTACGGCCCATTGTATTCTTGTGTGCTACTTCTAACAGTGAAGCTCACATCTTTGGAAGTACACATGGACATATCCTCCAATATACTGGCGTAAGACTGGATCCGAGACTGAGTTTCTGAGCAAAAATCCTACACAATGCAGGAAAACTGCAAAAGCAATATCGAGAAAGTGTCTCAGGAAAGGAAGAAGCTTTGTCAGCATTCTCAGCTGACTCACTAAAGAAGACCAACCGACGAAAGATAGTGATCAAAGTGATCGCACAGCACTGTATTAGGCGAAGCTGTAGCTGTATTAAGTGGGTGCGTACCCACAGCTCTTTTGGTATCCGAAAAAAAAAACTGAAAATTCAAAGAAATCTAGGTCCAAGGAAGCCTTGTCAATAACCAAAAGGGTACATTAAAAAAAAGGGGACATTAAAGAGTAGATCTCAAACCAGTAATGAACGCGGGAGAAACTAGAAAACCGGGACCAAAAGGCGGCCAGGTTAATAGCAGTTGCTCAAGTAAGAGCTAACAACAAATTCAAAGGGTTGGACTAACTAAAATGAATGTCACACAGATGCTATTCGGGCACGAATACTTTCAGAAATAGTTACAAGAGAAAAAAATTTAAAAGGCAGTAGCTGTACCTAAAACGACGCCAATGAAGATAACACTGAACAAACTAGTAGCGCAAGCTGTGCTGAGTAGCCTCCTTAGTGAAAGAAGCTGGAAAAGTCTAAAAAATATATAGAGCACAAACAGGGGAACTTGGATGGAAGTGTCGATATGAGAGAGAAAAGTGGAACGCCAACAGGAAGTAATGCGAAAGTAGTTCCAGGGTGGCCAACGGTTCTTTAGAGGACAGTTTTATAAGAAATATTTAATTTTCAAAATTTTCTTTTACATATTGGTGGGAATTTATTAACAATTTTCTTACCCTTCTCATTCTTTCTTAAATATTTTTGACACACATTGTATATATTGGATGAGTGCATAAGTTTGTGCCCGATTCCGCTGGATGCTCGAATCGTTTGAGAATGGCGCTCGTGAAAGAAATATATACATATTATATATCGTTGGAAAGGTGACAGTGCGAACTGTAAATCAAGCATAAAATAACTTCATTTTGATTTGAGTTGTTTAGTGAAAAGACGTATGGAAGATGGACAACGAAAAAGATCATATGCGTCATATTATGTTATACGAATTCCGCAAAGGAAAAACAGAAGGCGCTGCAACTAAAGATATTCACGAAGTATATTTGGACTGTGCTCCAGCACTCCGCACAGTAAAGAAATGGTTCGCGAAATTTCGTTCTGGAGATTTTAACCTCGAAGATCAACCTCGCAGTGGACGGCCTTCTGAGCTTGATGACGATGTTCTAAGGACTTTAGTTGCGAATAACTCACGTATTTCGACGGAAGAGGTTGCCAGTGAATTGACAACAACAAGTATTGTCAGCAATTTCGGCTAATCGCAAAGGAGTTCTTTTCCAACATGACAACGCCAGGCCACATGTTGCAAAACCGACACTGGCCAAACTGAAGGAGATGAATTGGAAAATCATGCCGCATCCCCCATATTCACCCGACATTGCAACTTCTGATTATCATTTGTTTCGATCGCTGCAGAACAATTTGAATGGAAAAAAATTTAAAAATGTGGAAGACGTCAAAAACAACCTTGACACCTTTTTCAACGAGAAACCGCGCGATTTCTATGAATCAGGCATCCGTAAATTGGTTGAACGTTGGGAGTGGATCGCCGAACATGATGGCGAATACATAATTGATTAATAAAAGCGCTTTCTTCAAAAAATTTCAATTTTAGTTTGCACTTGAAATCGGGCAAAAAAGCATGCACTCATCAATATCTATCTGCTGAAGAACAAATATTTCGAGTGAAAAGTAGATAAAAGATACATTTCAAATCAAACAAAACTTTTTATACCACCCTAATGCCATCATTATATATACGTGTATATAGCATGAATTTAATACACTTTGCTACTCACCAATTGTTGCCGTATTGAAAACCGTACCAACTCCAGCCATCAACAGAATTGTGCCCAAATTATCGAAGAATAGACGATTTGGCATAAAGTAGCCAGCGTCCAGGATAATCGGTGGTAGCATATAAAAGAAGAATGTATTGGGTGTGAGCGGTGAGACGGCCACATCAGTGCAAAAATATAGTACAAAACCAATAATAACACCCACTACGATCAGTAGACAGGATTCAGGAAAAATGAGATGTAATTTTGGGGTCATATGAAAGCCTGAAATGAAAGAAAAAAAGTCGAAATTGAAAGTATTGAAATATTAATGTATTTATTTATATAGGTTAAGTTTGTCAGTTTCGCGGAGGTTTGTATAAATGGTGGTAAATAATACAAATTGACAGTATACATTATTGAGTAGGTAATAAAGTCATACACGGCGGCAACATTAAGTGGCTACTGATGTTGTTTACTTAACAACAACAGTAAATACAAATACGAGTATACCAAAGGTAAGATGTACCTAAGCTTATAAGCACCTGCTCGATATTAAATAAAGGATAGAAAGAGACATATGTGCAAGTGCTTATGGGGATATTTGCTCAAATGTGTGTAGGCATTTTCTTTGATTGCCAGGCACCCATGTACAGTCAACTGCGAAAGTAGTGTTTAAGCTATTTAGAGCTTACTATAAATCGTTTGAGTTTGTTTGTTTGCATGTGTGGACATATGTACATACCCATATGTGTATATACATATATATATCTGATTATAGGATTCCTTATATGCACATTTTCTCTGAATTTATTTATTCTTACAACCTTTTCTGTTGTTCTTACTTTACTTTGGTTTATTGATTTTCGTTGTTGTTGAAAATATTTACGAATCCACTTGAAATATCTGCACAAATCATTTATGTATATGTATATACAAGAGCCTTTGTATAGTTTGAGAGGCAATATGCAAAGTATCTCAATTCGCCCACTGCTGGAAAATACAATGGACTTATGTCCATATGTGTGTCTGTATATGTATGGTGGTATTTGAAAGAAACTTTGACTCAAATTTATATACATAATAAATATAATATATATATATATATGTAATGCTCTCTGTATACGAATGTTCTTACGTAAATGAACTTTTCTACAAACTGGTGAATAATTGGTGTATTTTACGCCAGTATCGGTATTTTCCATTAAATTTAATTTGATTATTTTTATATTTGTCCTTTTTTCATTCTTTCATTTTTTTAATTTTGTTTTATTTCAATTCCTCTTATTTTATTTTGTTTTACCAGTAGGTCCATCTGTTCGGACCTATCAAGAAACATAAAATCGAAAAGATAAGTTGAGTTGGTATAGTCAAGCCTGTCATCCATTCGCATGTACTCAAACTAGTTCCTCAGCTTTAGAGGAATGTGATGCATATATTCCCTGGTACATTTAAAAGAAAACTTGTTGGAATGTGGTATTCTACACAATAATATACAAAAAACATTGACATCGAAAATAATTGAAATCGAAAAAGTTCACATATATGTTTATTTATTTATTTTATTTTTTTTTTATTTTATTTTATTTTATTTTATTTTATTTTATTTTATTTTATTTTATTTTATTTTATTTTATTTTATTTTATTTTATTTTATTTTATTTTATTTTATTTCATTTATTTTTTTGTTTTATTTTTTTAAATATTATACTAATTTACTTTAATTTATTGTATATTCATTATAATTTTGTTTTAAATTATTTAATTTAATTTTGTTTACTTAATTTTGTTTTATTTTATTTTCTTTTATTTTATTTTAATTTTTTTTTTATAATATTTTAATTTATTTGATTTTATTTTATTTTATTTTATTTATTATTTTATTATATTTTATTTTTATATTTATTCAGATATATCATTTCAAGGCTTAAAATAGATCATCATGCATCCTTTTTGGATCAGTTTGAGTGTATCCAACCATGTGTAATAAATCAATTCTTCGGGTTATTATAACATTCATGCTATGCTTCGTTCTAGTTAGATTTGCTTGCAAGTGGCAAAAGGTAGCATAAAGTGTTTTAACTATGTAAAGATATGTATCTGCTGAAATGGCGAAATATTCATCAAGAAAATGCAGGCCAATGGTAAAACGCTTTGTAATCAGGTCAATGTTGTTGATTTGTTCAAAATTGATAACAGTCAAAAATGGAAAAAAGCGAAAACGTAAGTAGCAAAATTATGTAATATGAAGAATATAGGCTTGTGTACAAAAAAATTTGTATGATTAATTAAAATTTTAAAGTTTTATTCTCGTCTTTTGATATAATACACAATTAATATAAAAGTATTTATATCAAAAGTAACTAAGCAATAGAAATGTATTTTTTTTTGGTTGTAGAAAACTCAACATAAAAATATTGTATGTATGTATATATATTTTACCTAAGCCTTCGAGGGATGAAAAAAATATGTTAACTTAATTTCTTTCTTTCAATTAATTAAATTCGAACCTTTTTTATATCCTTCTTTTGGACAGCCATAATCAATGACACAATGTATATTATTCTCCTTAATATTGTTTCTTTGAAAATAACACTTGTAGAAAATAAAATACAAGTTATTTGAACACAACCGTGTACAAACAAATGTACAGATATATTTAAACAAGCATACACGTATTCTTTCGCTGATATACTACTTGTATATTATGGAGTATTTATTTATTATAATTTTGTTTAACTTATTAACCCAAATATATCCATGCATACGCAAATATTAAGGAAAAATACTATATATAGTATGTATATAGATAGAGATGTCATTTAAGAAAACTCGCCTCCTTTTTGTTATTGTTTTTCAAATTCCAAATTTGAATTTATTACCAAAATGTGCTTTCGCATTGAAGCATTGAAAATGAAATCTGTAAAATTTATAGTTTGTGTTTTATGTATATGTAGGTATTTGTACACAGTTGAATACATACATATGTTTTTGACAAATTCAAAGTTTTAGCGATAAATCGAATAGTTTCATTTTATCGCTTGAAAATTATGTACACGTTTGCGTAGCTTTAATAAATCAGTTTAAGCTGAAAAGAAATTTAAAAGTATGAATGTTGCGTATACGTCACGTCGGATGCCTATCCATTGCAGCTTAAAAGTAGCGGGGCAGATCATAATCGAAATAATTCTTTAAGTAAAAGTATAAGGCATTAGGACAGAGGTATTGGACTTCCAAAATTTAATTTTTAAAGTTCTGTCAAGCGCTTGTGAGAGCTCTAGCCATTGTATGCATTGCGCAGAAGAAAAGCTCGCTGGGCGCTAAAGTTAAAAAGGGTTAGGTGAGGTGGAAGTAATCGGACACACAAAGAAGAAATAATCTGAGTGCGAGACAACTCTCCATTGAGTGAAACAAGCTATTAATGTACAAATTCACGATGGTGTATGGGAAATTCGGGATGCAGAAAAATCCAAACCTTATCGCGTGAACTATCATCGGAAAATGCCCGGTCAGATCTTTCAACATGTGCGAGAGTTTTGATCTTGGGTTAGAAAGAAGCTATCCTGATCACCTATCAGGTAAATGAATCTCGCAACCACCATGATGCTAGCACAGTGCCAAATGTTTTAGTAAATGTTGTTTCAGCACTCTCCTGGGCAGTATTTCCGCCACTTTCATGAGAGCAGCAACGCGCGCCTTAAGCGCTCCGCTGACGGATAACTCTCTATAGAAAGCTACCGCATCAAACTTCGATCCATCTGTGAATGAGCATTAAATTTCATCCTATGACTTTGTTTTCTCAAGTCCTTCCGTGAAAAGATTATTACGTAGAAGGAAGACCTCGGTGCTATTAACCAATAAAGCACACTACCAGATATTCAGGCTTCTCACTTGCTACTTCAAACGATGAAGCACAAACCTGTGGAAGTAGACATGTTCATGTCCTCCAATATCCTGGCGTAAGGCTGGATCCCAGACTAAGTTTCTGCGCGACACATTGTGGGAAATGCTACCATAATCACTTTCTAGCTCAGTAGACTGATGGGCAATATTTGGAGAATATCTTAGGAAAGGAAGAAGCTTTGTCAGCTAAAGAAGTCCAGCCGAAGAAAGACTTTGATCAAAGTGTATCATATGGCAGCTTTGAGGGTGGCAGCGGCATACTGCGCTATATAAAGCGAAGCGGTAGTAATAATAAATGGGTGCATTTCTATCGATCAAAGAGGAGACATTGAATAGGACATACCGCACTAGTGACAAGCTCGAGAGGAATTGGAAAACCGGGGCCAAGTAAGAGCTAGCAGGAAGTTTGGAGAGGTGGATTATTACGTCACACAGATCATACCCGGGCAGGATTACTTTCAGAAATATTTACAACGAAATAGGAAAGGTTGAGGAGCTGCGCTGTACCTACAACAGCGCTAATGAAAGGCGAGCACACTATTTACGCAAGCTGAGCTGAGTAGTCTCCTCAGTGAAAGATGCTGGAAAAGCCTAAAAAAGAATATATATAGTGCCTGCTAAGAGCGAGAAAATGGAAACTTGGATGCAGATGGCAAGATGTATGTAAGTTACACTATGAGAACAATGGCACGCCACCATGAAGAAATGCGAAAGGGTTTCCAGAGTTGACTATCTTCCTTTTGAAAGAATCAAAACCTAAGCTTCTCCAAAAGGACATTAAGCTTTGATCTTTTGAAGTGGAATTTTCATTTTCTTCGAGTCTTTAAACTATTATAGTCGATACAATTTTCATTTGATAAGCCTGAGCTAGTTGAAACGGATTTTTGTCGGATTCAGAGTTGGCTAGATAGACAGCTCGTCAATGCCATGATAATTCGGGCAATGCTAACGGAGATTTAAAAAAAACTTATTTCCATAAATATGCATTTTTCTTATTAGAGAATTAGTATTAATAAACTGATTTTGTAGAAAATAATTTATTTAAAAAACTAGATCTAGAAAACCACTCTTTACCTTCGGGTATTGGAACTATTTTTTTTTATTTGATTTCCATTTATTATTAAATCCCATTCGTCGAAAGCATTTAATTTATAACATATAAAAAAAATTCAAATTTCCGTTTAAACTTCTGTGCAAATCAAAGAAATCACATTAAAAGCATAACCAAAACTTAATATAAGATTTGCAAAATCCCTTTCTAAGCTTTTTCATGCGGATTCAATTTGTTCAAGAATACAAAAAAAAACAGCAGCAAGGAGAATCCAAGTACAAAGGCGTAACAGAGAGAATGGAGCAACCGAATTTCGACGCCAAACCACTGCCAAAATAAGAAAAAAACGACACGTCCAGACAACAAAGCTTAATAGCACAACACTCATTGGAGGTTGCCAAGTGTAAAGTTTAGATCTAAGCACGCAAACATATTCACCATGGCAGAATGGCACAGAACCTGAACACGCAATCCAACAAAGGTTGGAAATTTTTGAAAATGTATGCGTGTGTCTTTATGAACATGTGTATGGATGTACGTGTTTGTTTGTTTTACTTAATGGGGTGTGTCGGTTTTGTCTCATTGCTTGCACACAACGTGGGAGACGTGAATGCCCTTGAATTGAAATGCGAAATCCAAGGACAAATAGAACTACATTCTACACTACACAAATAGCACCATAATGTGCTTACAATGGTAAAATGCCGACACTAGTACGAATTTCGCCAATGGACATATTTGCTTTTCATTGCCAACAGTTATTTGAGTGAGAACATTAGTAGTAGTAGGTGGTGGGGTAGTGTTGCTGTGGTTAAAGCGCACATTTTTGGACTCAGTTGGCGTCACAGAATAGGGAAGTAAATTACTAAACATGAAAAATGCAAAGACTGCAAATATTTTGGGGGAAAAGCGGTGCTCTCACTGAGTTTGGTGCATTTATTGACATTAACCTATTGTTTGGCATGAAATTCTTTTACAACATGTTAGGCATTCACGCGCTTAGTCATTGTTTGTTAACGTCACAATTTCCGTTTCCACTATCGATAAGCTCTGCGAATGCCAATAAAAGAGACATACGTGTACTATTGTATGTTCGTTTGAAATATGCAATTGCGCAAACACGCAAAGCAGTTATTTTATAAATGAGGATAAATATATTGTTTAACATACTTTTGGGCGTACAAAGGCATTTCTCACGCATTGCACGTAGCGATTTATTATATTAATGAGATTGTGTATTTATGGCATGATGCTATGGCAGTGCGTTCGCTTCACAAAATAATCTATAAAAAATAATATACATACGTAAATTTTCCAAATTTCATAACAAACTTTATACCTTTAATTGTTGTTTGAATAGTAAATTTTAAAAATAAAGTGAACTTTGCAATATTTTAATAGTAAAAGTTTTTAAGGATATTCACAAAAGGATTTTTAAAGTGTTATTTACTGGTGCCATGTCGTGTAACCATAACTTCGTGGATTCTTAATACTTAATCTCGGAAATTTTTTTTTTTAGAGACGAGATATTTCCTTTATTCTTGACTAGTTAAAAAACTTTTTTTACATTTTTTTTTTTTTTGACAATATTAAATACTATATTGCTTTTGGAATAAAGATTACTAAGCGTTTTATCAAAATATTTTGCATGAAAATTTTTAATTTTACTACAAAACAACAAAAATGAATCCCAATATTTCCATTTATGCAAAATTTCTATAAATAGAATAATTATTAGTAAAATTTTTAAATATTGCATTGATTCACGACTTCTTGAATTTCATTCTGATTTTGTCTGCCCCTAAAATGTAGGAAAAATTAAACTTAATTTATGTCGATTACTGTGGGTTATAGCTATTAAATGTGTCTCATAAAATATAGTATGACTGCCTATCACTACTTTAAAATTTCCTAATTTTATGGTTGGCAATAAGTAATGTGGGATGGGGACATAGAAGTTCACGCAAGCGAGAAAAGTTTTTAACTGCCATTCGCCACTCCCAAGCCAGAAACGATTATTTTGAATATGGTTCAAGCAGCTCACGACTTCCGGTCTTTGACCGAGTATTCCCTGGGTAGCCAACAAACATCCGTTTGGAGGCGAGCTAAAGTGAGAAAGCGAATCCCATGCGATTGTGTGTAGGGTTTAGGACCCACCGCATGAAAAACAAAATCCATTGAAAAATTTCAATCACCCTCGGCCCCCGCAAATGCTCTAAGGATTGTGGTTTTAGAACATGCACCTGGAATGTCCGCTCCCTTATTGGGAAGGTGTCGCTGCCCAGCTGGCTAGTGTACTCATAAAATTAAAAGATGACATTACCTCCGTCCGTCCAAGAAATATGATGGAGGGGTCAAGGGCGGAATAAGGTGGGTCCTTGTGAAATTTTCTACACCGGCCATATAAAGGAGCGCAAATTTGGTGTAGGATTCGTGGTGGGAGAGAAACTCCGTCGCCGAGTACTGGCTTTCACTTTGGTGGATGAACGCCTCGTCACAAACCGCATCAAAATTAAATTTTTTAACACCAGGCTTATTTGCATCCACGCCCCGATGGAAGAGAAGGATGACTTGACCAAAGATGCCTTTTACGAGCGCCTCGAAAACACTTATGAGCGCTGCCCCTGCCACGACGTTAAAACTGTGTTGGGCGACTTCAACGCTACGGAGGGCAAAGAAGGTATTTTTGGGTCGGAAAATTCAGCCTCCACGACGAAACATTTCCAAATGAGCGGAGGACCATTATCTTGTACGCACTCGCGTCTCTGTGTCAAAGAACGCCCGTCATCAAACACAAGAAAAGCTCGGTATCGAAGAGCTGCAATCACAACAGACTGCCGAGCGATTTTCCATTCGATTTACACCCCTGCTTTCTGAAAGCACTAATCAACAATCCGGCAAAAGGGAACTGATCTCTACGTACAGCTGCAAACTATTGGATTTCAAAAAGATCGCAAAAATAGCTGGTACGATGAGGACTGCCGTATCGCAGTGGAGAGAAGACTGCCTACTCGCAACCTTGCGATCGATAACAACACGTGCGGGGTGGGATAGATACCGAGCTGAAGAGACGCCGAGCTATTTAAATACGGCGGTTAAGAACTGATCAGGTGCCTGCATCGGCTTCATTGCAAAATATGGTCGGATGAAAGCATGCATTCCAATCATGGGAGTTTCAGTGTGCATTACCCAATCCACAAAAAAGGCGACACCACACTCTGCGCCAACTACCGTGGAATAACCCTTCTTCACATCGCATATAAGGTTCTATCAAGCGTTTTGTGTGAAAAACTATAGCCCACCGCCGACAAACTGATTGGTCCTTATCAGCGTGGCTTCAGCCTTGGTAAGTCAACCCCATTTACCAGATATTCACCATGCGACAAATGTTGGAAAAGACCCGTGAAAAGGTTTTAAAGCAGCTTTCGACAGCTACTTCTACGCCGCTATGCCTGAATTTGGTATTTTTTTGTTTTTTGTTTTCATGAAAATTATGGGAAAAATAAGAGAATTTCATTTTTTGTTTTTGAGTTTATTTGTGTTTTAGAGATTTAGGGGATATACCCACTTTTAATTTTGGAAATCTTTCTGTATATAAGAATAAAGAGGATGTACGAGCTTCACTGATAACCTAAGAGTCTTCCTGAGAATTTTGCAAATCTTTTCATAAGTTAACACCTATAAGAACACTAGATAAATGAACCTGAGATCTTTTTATCCTTTTGTCTAAACTAAGATATGGACCACTTTTGCTTCCGGGGAATGTACCTGAATCCGATATTTTCGAAAAAATTTGGCTTATGACTCAATTTACTAAAAGCGTGGTCGATGTCGGCATCTGATTTTGCGGCCCTGGGAGTTTGCAAAGAAATATTTGAGTTGAACGAGTTATACGATGCCATTGTCATAGTTCAACGAAGGAATAGACAGCGACTACGCTGGTAGACCATGTCATCCGTGTGGATGAAAGCGCTCCAGCTGTAAAAGTATTCGTTGCAGTATCCGCTGGTGAAAGCAGAGGAAGGCTAAGAGCCTTGCTCCTTTGGAATCAACAGGTGGGGAGCGACCTCAACTGAATGATGCGTTACTGTTGATTCGGCTTTCAACACGTAATCCAATCTTATTGAGGCAGATATTTCACTGAATATATCTAACATGCACGTTCTTAAGTATTGTATGTAAAAATAACTCAGCCGCTGTGATATTCAAACGGCAAACATTTTATGCGCTTTTACACATACAAATACTTTGCTAGATCAAAAATATAATTTTAATAAGAAATTTAATATTATACTTTTTGCGCAGTTTCTCAAGAAGATCTACGACGGAAACAGCGTAAGCCAAAAATTTTTCCAAATACCATGTGAATACTTCAAATACATTCAAATATTCACCAAAAAACACTTTTGTTTTTACTTTCAAGTGGACATAAACCGTTAATAGTACTAGTTTTCTGTAGGGAATGAAAAAAACAAATGCAGAATAGCACGAGGATTTACATACTTGCTTATATAAGCATTAACATTTTATTTTAACTTACCAATTTTGGCTATACTCGCCGATAATATCCAAATACCGATTATGAATGGCGTCTTCACTCTATCGAAATCGACCTGTGAGAGTGGATAACGCTCCGGTCTGTGCGCATAGGGATCTTCGTCGTCATGTGCGGAAATCATTATCGGTGGTCTATGTGTATCGATTTCCTTCGGCTTATCGCTTGGCGTGGGTTCCGGTGCAATGGCATTTGTTTGTAAGGCAACTTTATTGCCATCACTATCACTAGCTGCCACCTGCAGAAAAGAGAGAAAGAATTAATATTTATGCCACTATTTATATGAACCAAAAAAAATATATATTTATATATATATATATATAAAATGCTTTCTAAAAACATAAATTCAATCTTTGAAGTGGTTGAAATTTAAATATACATTTATTTCCTTCGCAATAGTGTAATTTCATCCCATTTGGCATTTAAGTATAATTGACAACAAAAACCACAATATGAATGTTATGTTTGTGGTTTTATAAATTAGTAGTGCTAAGCTGCGTATGTATGTATATATGAAAAAATCAATGAGTGCAGTGATGAATGAATTTGCACCTTACAAGCTGTAGTGCAACACCACCGATTTGAACACGTATCATTAAATGATTAACCATCGACAACGTCAGGTAACGCTTAGCAGTAAAATTAGCAGTAATTTGTACAGATAACTACATACACTACATAAAAATGAATCATTCGTTCCGATCTGGCCGTCCTTGCTGCTTGTATAGTCCATGGTCATAGTTCTATATACAGGAATGTATAGAAAGATTTGATATTTGAGACAATTTTTTGAAACTACTCATATGCGATATGTTTGTAGGGGGCAAACGTTCAAGGTTTGGTACTGATAGCTTTCTTGAAGTTCGTAATTAGTCTTCTTAAAGGACGTACACTTTTTTGTGCTCTACAAATGGACTTGTTTGTAATTGTAATTTATTTACTTAAGCTTCTTAATCTTTCAATTGGAATATATTTGAACTTGTTTCGAGCATGTTAAGTTATCTCTTAATAACTCGTTATATCGGCCATGGTGTTATCCCCTCTTTCGGATATCCCTTGTTCCTGTCTTAGCCGATTATATGCCTGTGAGTCTAGATAATTAATAATATGATTAGCTGATCTGAAAGCTCTCCCATAATTGTTGACTGTCGTCCTTCCCTATGATACTCCTTATTTATTCACGCCTAGAGGGCATCGTTTTCCCAAAGCTATTATACAATAGAATCCAAGCTAATTCACTATATGCTGGTTAAGAATTTTTGAAGCGCATTTGTCGGACATGATTTTGTGGTTTGCATACACACATAGGTTACTTTTTGGATTCCATTTAATTTCCGAATGATTTTATTAAATTGAATAGATGCTAACCGATAAAAAGGTTCTTTTCTCAGCCCAATCATTTAGGAGGCATTTATCCAAAGAGTCACTTGTCCCAAAATGGACACTTCTGCTTTCCCTAGATTACGCAATGAAACGAAGCGCTGTTGATTGTCATAACTTTGATAACTTCGGGTAGGTAGATACTATAATCAATATCAACAACAATGTCTGCCTTGAAATCCAGCAAGTCTTACTGTAGACTGAATTAGCAACTGAAAAGTAAAGTCCCCTCTCAACGTAAACGTATGCTGTATATGCGTATGTATATCTTATATAATTCAGCTTGAATTTTCGCCTCAGTACTTACTAGACAAGAAGCGTTACCTACGTCAATCAAGAAGAAGAAGAAGAAGAAGAAGCGATAATAAGATTGGTATGCTGATAAAATTTACCAAATTCATATTTATTACCGATGATAATAAGGGGTGCAGAACTTTGATAAAATCGGAAAAAAAAATTCTTTTTCTTAAAAGGTGCTTTAGGGTATTAGAAATAATTTAACAGAAAATGGATGTCGGTAAAAATGTCTAAATGCCCAAATTTTCCATTTGAGGGCAGTGGATCGCAGGTATGCCTCGAGCGACATTTAACGTTAAACGCGTTTTTCTCGAAATCACTTTTCTTAAACTGGCCGAAGACATATCTAGAAAAAAATTTCCTCGATTCTTACGAAGTTTTGACAGTACATTCGAAATACCGTAATCAAAAATTTTATGTCATTTTTCAGAGTGGAAATTTTAAATTTTTGTTAGCGAAAAAAATACAATAATAAAACTAAATGTAGAAAAAATCCTACCGACGTCTCTTGCAATTGGTATATACAATAGAAACAAAAAAAAATTTATTTTTTGATTCAGTACAAAAATTAAGGAGTTCGCGTCTTCGGCCATTTGACCCATTAGCAAAAAGGTGCCTTTGGAGAAATGCTAGACGGCGGCCATTTTGAAATGAATTCATACGAAAAATTTCTTATTTACTCCATGAAACCTATATTATTAAACCTATTTCACAGATTTTCGATTGATGACGTTGTTGATTCACAATATATTTAAGAAATATGTCCATTTTTTCGCTCTAGACGCCTTAAGCACGTTTGTGTGTAAATAAGAGATGTATTACAATAATAATTTTTTTTTTGGTAAAATATTTATGAAACTTAAAAATCGTAAAAGTGCACAAAAAATAGAAATAGCAAATAAATTAAGTTTGTTGTTAAACAAAAAAGCACACTAAAAATAATGCTGAGTAAATTTTAGATTTTTAGAAATTACCAAATGTTAAATGTGCTAAATGTTTGTTATAAATTTAAAAGTAAACTTAAGTAAAAAGTTTGTTTAATTTCAAAATTTAAAGACCAAAGCAGAAATTTGACTTATTTACATACATACATATGTCTCAAGTAAATAACAAATTCCAAGGTGACTTCCCAACCAAGTGATAGCGCTAACTCTTATTTTAGATTGTCAAAAATGTCTATGTGACTGTCGCAGTCGCGGTTTGTATGAAAAAAGTAAAATCATATAAGCTCGTGTACGAACTGGTAATTATTGAACTACTAAATCGAGACTTTTGAATAGCAACCCAGGTTGACAGAATAAGCAAAGATTTACGCCTGTGAATTTTAGGTGTGGTAAAAAAATCCATTATTTTTCCAATAGATGGCGTTATTTGTCTGTATTTCGCTTTGTATGAGTCGGATCTTGTTCCCTTAGATGGCGTTAGAAAGATGACATTTCGTACTAAGTTTAAGTTTTTTCGACAGTTTTGCGATTGGTAGATTCAGATTTGTTTAAGCGCGTGTCAAAGATGGACACTAGCAAAGAGGAAATACGCTATATTTTACCGTTTTTTTTTTCGATAAGGGCGAAAACGCGAAAACGTGAATATCGTTTATGGTTCTGGTATCGTTACAGTCAATTATGCATAATTTCGGTTTCATTTTGCCCCGTAAGATGGCCTATAACTATAGACATATACTTCCTTAAAAGCGCTTTGAGGCCTCAGGAACTTCTTCTGTACTATGCTGAGCACATTATCATGGGTGGCATTACGCGCATTGAGACTTCCCCAATTTTGACTTAGCATCCTTGCTAGACGACTAACCGATATCGAACATAGATCTCTCAAGGCGGCTGAAAACGTGAATAGCGTTTATGGTTCTGGTGCCGTTACAGTACAATAATTTCGGTTTCATTTTGGTAATTTCTATGTAAAAAATGTTGATAAAATCATGAGCATTATCGAGTCCGACCGTGATGCAAGCATTGTTTCGATTGTCCAAGAGCTATAGATTGCACAAAAACCCGTTTGGATGTGAAAAGTAAAAAATTGAAACCTTCAATTTTATGCAAAAATAATGGATTTCTTTTTACTACATTTCATATATAATAATACATATATTCTTTACCATTCGTCATGGTATCAAAAATTAATGTTAAATATTTGCCTATTTATTTACATATTTTTTTATTGTGTCCACTACAGCAACTTTATCAGCCAAGTATTTATGTACGTACATACATACATCCATATGTATCTTCTCTTTATATTTATTCTAGCAAACAAATTAAAGTGAATAACAAATTGTTCTGTTATTTTTGTAATATCACCCAGCCAAACTTTATTCATATACACGTATATGTACGGCACTGTAAGCGATTGGCCTCATTTGCGCCAAAATCTAGTTAACACTGGAAGTTGACTGCCAAAACCAAATATAACCAACTGAAACTGAATTAAACAACTCCATAAATAAAATATATTTTTTTGAAAATATTACTTGGCTATCAATAACATATGTACAAGCAATCCTATTAACAAATATATGTATAGTGAATAGACATTATTGCAAACAGGTTAAACTTTTGTTGTAATTGCGTGCATATTTTACATTGAATTTTATTATGTCACCGTCAGAATAAAAAAAAAAAAGAAAATCTTGTTAAAAAAAAGAGTCATTTGGTGATTTGTGATTTGCTTATTTTAGATATGTTCGTGCAATAAATACCCATGACTGAAAGCATAATTACATGTTGCGATTATTATTATTATTTTTTAATCGCCTAACACTCATTCACATGGTACCCTGATAGCGATAATGGTAATGAAATGAATTGTTGACTTTAAATGCAACTCGTTTAGTTAATGAAATTTTATTTAATATTCTTCAAAATCTATATAACCTTATTCTAAAGGGCTTGCCATTATGTTTAAAAATGATTTTGGCCAAGTGACCATCATGGCTGGTTCAAATAAATTCCAGTCGCGATGCCGAATTTTCGACCACTTTTTGCATTAAATAGGGACGTATGTCAGCACGTCTGGCATATCTGTGTAAACAAAAAAATTGGCTACCGGTGTTATATCGCACGATTTTGGAGGTCATACTAAAAGCCAAACCAAAAGTTTCCTTCAATAAAATGATTATTTCGTTGGCTGCATGACATGTAGTACCGTCATTTTGGAACCACATCAACATCCTCCAATTCAGACACGATATATTATTAATAATGGCTCTATAGTATTCACCATTGATTATAACAACATGTCAACAATGACTAGCTCTGCCCATAGAACACCCCAAACAGTAGCCTTTTGAGGATGTAGCGGGTTATCAACAATAGCATCAGCAATTCAACCAAAAGTGAATTTCATTGTGGAACAAAATTTTTTGTGAAAATCGTTTAGGATGTCCAGACATTTTTGCGTCTTGCTTCGACTTTTGACATTCATTAACCTTTGCATTGGTTGTGTTTTGATTTTAACACTGTGACTGTGCAGGTGGGTGGGAGGAAGAAAGTACAACTACCTTGAAGATAAGAGGCAATCACCTATTAATTTTTGTTAAACCATCTAAAA